AACGAGGCTCCACTCGGGCCTTCCCAGTGCTGCTCACGGTTTCTCCGCACCTGCCAGCGCCACGCGGAACTCAGGACGGGTCCCCACAAGCAGTGAGTGCAGGGCAGACACCAACTTCTACTTGCACAGGGAGCGGGGAGCACAAGGGAGCACGGACGGGCCGAGGACAGTGCCATGCACTGTGCCAGGGGCAGCCAGCTGCCCGGCCCCTAGGGAGCCAGCCACCAGGGTGGCTGCAGAGCACCCCTCGATACAGCATGTCGCCCGGCCGGCTCGAGGCTGCGCTGGCCATGCTCGCGGAGGGCCTTTGTCTGTCTTGGGAAGGAAGCCTGCTCGTGCGGGGCGGGAAGGCGTGTGAGGGCAGCAGATGAGGGAGAATTTCAGTTAGGGAGACCCCAGCAGTCAGTGCAGGGGCAGATGGAGGCATTCACGGCAACACAAAAGACACAGTCTATTTTATCAAATAAAATGCAAAGTATCTCAAAGGTTTGGCTTCAGGGTGTCGGCCTCATTCAACTCGTACCCTCCCCCCCTCCTGCCTTTCCCACCTGTCTGGATCCCAGCGCACAAAGGAGAGAAACACTCTAAGCTGAATGCAAACCGCCTCCTCTGGGGACAATATCAGGCACCCCCAACAAGCCTGGGGGGGGCGCCGGCCGGGAGGGAGGCACGCAGGGAGGAGTCCAGTAGCTGAGCTCTGCTCTGCTCACAAGCTTGTTTTCAGGACCACAGGCTCAAAAAACACTTGGGAAATAATGGCTTCTCTGTGAGAGCGAACTACAACGTATCTCAATTTACTTGTCAAGGGACCACAGTACTTAACCTACAGGATTAGACCTCTTGCCAGTCCTGGTCAAGTTCTAATGAAAGTGCCCATAGAAGTCTGATTTACAGTCTGGCATCAGTTAGTTCTAGATGATTACGGTACCAAGTAGTTAACCTCCAGGGTTTCAGAGGGAGTGAGCCGAGGGCTGCCTGGAAGAGGCAGAGCTGCTCCGTGGCTTCTGCATCGTGGTGGGCCTGGGGGAGGGGCACGGTCCAGCCACCGCAGGAGCTTTTTCCCGGTGCAGGCCCTGTCCCAAGTGAGCAAGGTCTTTTTAGACAGGTTCCAAGTTGAAGGGCAAGTTTGATCTAGAGGCCTGGGTAGAAACTGAGCCCACATACTGACACGCAGACTGACTCGCCATTGCGAGTTAGCTAGAAAGCACTGGAGGTGGCTGGGTCGGGTGCTCTGTCCCAGCCTCCTCTAGGAGTGGAGGCGGGGGGGGGGGCTCTCCGTGATGCCCTCCCCCCTCAGCACTGTGGAGGGAAACTAGACCCGCACACAGGCCAGGGTGGGCGGCCCAGGGAGCTCAATAGGACATAGCCGTCCCCACACTGAGCGCATCTCCTGGGGAACTGCTGAAGGCTCATGACACCGTCTGGGGGGAAGGAAAAGCCGCGAGTCACCCTGCACTGCTCGTTGTCCTGGCCCACACTGATGACCTGGGTTCTCGAGCTGGCATCACCGACCCTGGGGTGGCCCGGTGGCGCTCCCCTGGCTGCGGTCCTCACAGAGCCTGGGCCTCCCGGCACATCTCCCGTGGGCTAAAACCACAGCTATGCAGACGGGGCGCAGGGCCCACAGCAGGCTGATGTCTCCACTGCGTGCCGCCAACCCTCTGTCCGCCCTCTGCAGAGTTTGGGGGCGAGCTCCCAGTGCCTCCTGGGGCTCCCCGCCTCACACACCCCTGCCGGCAGCACCCCTCCCCACTCAGTCCCCCTGCCCCATGAATGTGGCCCGTGGGGAAGGCCAGCAGCCCAGGCTCATCTCCAGGAGCCTGCGGCCCGGCTGAGTGGGCGGAGAGAGAAGGCCAGGAGGTGAGTGAGGAGCTGGAGCGTGGACACCGGGGCGGCCACAACGGAGTGCCCGTCACCACCGCCACACAGTGAGCCATCCAGCCTGGCGCTGAGCCATGTGACCCGAAGTGAAGGACCCGGCCTCACTCAGCCTCAGGGCCTCCCACCTGCTACCTGCTTGCTGGGCGGAGGAGGAGGTGATTGCTGTTAATTCTCAGGCTCCCCTTCCAGCCTCACGTAGAACATTCCAGGGCCCATCAAAGAAAACCTGGCCCTGCCTCTTCCACACGGGCACGAATGAGACACCAGTAAGGGAGGCTGAGGCCACAGTGATGCCGGGCTCCTCCAGCTGAGCACCATCCCTGCAGAGATACCTCAGGGCCGGCTCAGTGGGGGTGCCGCGGGGGCCACGCGTCTCCTGTCCACCGTGAGAGGAGGCGGCGTCACAAACTGCTAATGCCACAGCTCAGGGCTAAGCGACTTCCAGGAACACAGCGGCGCTTTGTCTTCCTGAGGACTCAGAAGTGACAGGCGGGAGCCAGACCCGCACGAGCACTGCGGCAACACTCGGCTACACCCAACAGTAGACCTTTTGTTTGCTAAGCCACCTTGTCACGAGGAAAAACATTTATTTTCATGTCAGTGAATTGCTAAAGTTCAATCTAAGTCTTTCAGGAAAGCAAGAGTCCCCTCGGCTGTGAGCAGGGGGGCTGCGGGGCCAGGGCGGAGCCTCACCCTCTCAAGGCCACCCCTCGGGCTTTCTGTCCGTTCTGAGCAAGTGGAAGCCCCCCACCCCGGAGGCGACCGTGGAGGGACAGCCAGGGAAACAGCGCTGCCCCCACCCCAGGCAACCTCACGGGGGAGGAGAGCCACTTTCTAGAAGCCACAGCAGTGTCGGGGCTGGGGGTGGCTATGGATCGCCGGCTGGACGGTCTCCACTTCAGGAGGGGTGAGGAGAGGCACTCGTGGGGGCCCAGTGCAAGGTCTGTGTGCCCTGGGGACTGGACAGCCCAATTCACAGGTGACTGACGGCGCCAAAGGGGTGACAGCGCAGGGGAAGTCTGTGTTCACACAGGACATGGGGGGCAGTGGGGATCTGCTCCCCTGGGGGCAGCTGCGTTTTCCCAGTGATTCCGCTGGGAGTGCGCTGGGATTAGGCACTGAAAGAGCCCTGCGGCCGATCACATAGGAAGCAAAGGCTTAAGAGTCAGTGAACTCCGGGGGCGCCTGGGGGGCTCAGTCGGTTAAGTGCCCGACTTCAGTGGCTTGTGGGTTCGAGCCCCGCGTCGGGCTCTGGGCTGACAGCTCGGGGCCTGGGAGCTGCTTCGGATTCTGTGTCTCCCCCTCTCTCTGCGGTCCATCACGTAGGAAGCAAAGGCTTAAGAGTCAGTGGACTCCAGGGGTGCCTCTGCCCCTCCCCCCTCATGCTCTGTCTCTCTCGGCTCTCAAAAATAAACATTAAAAAAAAGTAGATTCCTTTACTGGGGCATTCTTGTGTGCAGGGGACATCCACGAGGGGGAGTTCGTATGTCACGTCTCCTGGCACCCTGGGCCACGGGCCCTTCCCCGCAGGTGTGTTGCAGGGCTGGCGGCCCTGAGGACGGTGAGTCTCCAGCCACGGGGCCTGTGCTGACAGGATGCTGGGCCTCGTGCCCAGTTTCTGACCCAGCAGCGCTGGGTTGGGGCTGACGGCGCGTTCCTGACAAGTCCCCGGGTGACCTTTCTTTGGGGACCCCAAGTGGGACGCTCCCCGGCGCCGAGGCCTCTGCCTCCAGCAGCGGTTTGGTTCTCGGGATGCTCTGCCCGGTGCCCCACAGCTGTCCCCACCATCTTTCCGGCCACAGCTGGTTCTCACTTTCAGCCAGATCTCCCTTCCGTCTCAGGCCTTCTTCCTGCCCAACGTGGGCAATGTTCAATCCTTTTAAAATAACCTTATTTAGCTAAGGGTTGAGTTAATCACACCATCAGGTATGGATTTTGCCACTTTCACTTCCAGAAGAAACCTTTCTTCCAAGTTCCTGGGGCAATTTTCAGGCTCCTTACATGCTGGTTCAACTAGAATAGTTGAGGACATCGAATCTGGTTTACTGTATTTATATTTCAGACACTGAATGAGAAGATCAAAATAAGCACAAAATAGGTGGCAAATGTATAGCCACGGCCACCTGAATTTTAACTTAGACATCTGTGTCTGCCACTGAATGACAAATGAGAGCTGGAGTTCTCTGCACTCTTAAGAGTTTGTTTCCGAAGCAAAGGCTTTGAGAGAACCTACTAAGGAGTCTGTGTGTCCGGCTCCTGGTCCCTGAACTCGTTCCGGCCAGAGTGCCCATCACTTGGGACTCAGCAAACATGACATCAAAGAACAGGCCCTTCAGAATCAAAAGGCCTCGACGCCCCGAGGTCAGAGAACAACGCATCTTAAAGATAATCTTTTACAATTCTGCACAAAAACCCTACTTAGGTCTTTAAGGAGTTTGGGAACCTCTTGAGTTATGAGAAAATCACAACTGCGTAGGGCAGGAGACTGAAAAGCAAAAGCGCAGGAAGAAAGTGTAGCAATTTGTTCCCCTCGGGCCGCGTGGAAACAGTAATTAGAGGTTAGCGGAGCACCAGCAAGGGTCGGGCCAAACCTCACTCTTGCTGAGGACGCCTGGCTTCACAGCGACTCACAGTCCATTTGAAAGCCCGGCGGCTGCGGGTGGGGAGCTGCAGCCCCGCCCCCCACCTCTGCCACCGGGGCGGGCGGCTAAGGGGGGGCTGATTAGCAGGTGGCGGCGTGATTAAAGCCCAACAACATAACGTGTGGTTTGGGGGATGTCAGGTCAACCGCAGGCCGCGCCTCTACGGACGAGGCGCCTCCCACGACAGGCTGACGGTCCCGTGTGGCCGCACGGAGGTCTGCGGGGCGTCTGGACGCGCGTCCGAGTCGCCGGCTCGCTCTGAGCACCCACTACCCAGACCACAGGAGGGCGACGGAGGGGGCTTCAGGGGAAGGGGGCCCGGCAAAGGAACGGGGGTCCCGGGCACGGAAGCGGGGTGCGCGTCAGGAGGCGGCGAGGACAAAGGCTGGAGGAAGCGGGGCTCCCTGCGAGGGCTCTCGGGTCCGCGGCTGCGGGGCCCGGGGCGGGGGCCGGGGTCTCCGCGCGGGCGCGCCTCACCTCGCACGTCCCCGGCCAGGGCCCGCCAGGTGGGCGCGTAGCCGATGCAGTGGCCGCACCACGAGGAGTAGAACTGCACGAGCCACGCGGCCGAGCTGTTGGCCGTGGCGCCGCGCACGCTGCCGCTGTCCAGCACCCACACGGCGTCCTCGCCCGCGCGGTACAGCCGCGCCGCGCCGCCCGCCCCCGGGCCCGCCGCCGCCGCCGCCAGCAGCACGAGCAGCGGGGGCAGCCGCCGGGCTCGGGCCGCCGCCGCCGCCGCCGCCGCCGCCGCCGCCGGGGCTCCCGGGCTGCGCGCCGCCGCCCCGGCCGCCGCCATATTGGGAGTGCCGCGGCGCGCCTGACCTTTCACCCTGGCAACCGCCGTCACGTGCGCCGCGAGCGCCGGCCCCGCCCCCGAGCGCCCGGCCCCGCCCCCGAACTCCCCCCAGGCCCCGCCCCCGGACCTGGCCCCGCCCCCCCATGGTCGCCGTATTTAGCAAAAGAAAACGTCCCGTATCTCAGATGCAAATTTAACGGGAAGTTCTTACGCTTACAAACGATTGGCTGCTTATCGGAAATTCACATTTAACTGGGGGTCCTGTGTTTTATCGGGGCTTCAGAGTGTCTGCTCCCCTGACCTTGACATTTTAATAGGAGATTTTGTCTCTTGGAAAGGTAGTAAGACACCCACACAAACTCAGATGTGTTATGGTGCTCAAGTTTAGGACTTTCCGGCGACCTTTGCAGCCCTAGGAAGTAAAGCTTCCTGTGACTTTTTGCTTAATTCAACAGGAGGCCTGGTTTTTAAATTACTATTCCTGATTGCTATGCATATCAACATTTTCTCTGAACTGTGTGACCAAAACAAAAAAGAAAGGAAGTGGGTCACAGAGCGGATATGAATCAGCAACAGTCACTGCCTGGAAGTTTCAAATTCTTGTTTCAGGCCCCTTGGCTCCTAGCAGCCCAGGCAGACGAACTGCGTGTGCAAAGGCCCTGCAGTAGAAGGCGCATGCACGTTGGAGGAACAGCAAGGCGGCCAGCGAGGCTGGAGCAGAGGCAGCCGGGGAGAGAGAGAACCAGGGAAGCAGCCAGGAACAAGATGGGGAGGGGCGGGGCCTCACGAGACAGGCTGCAGACTGGGCCCCTGTGCTCTGAAAGCCATGGCCATCAGAGGATTCTGAGCAGAGATGTGGTTCTGCCCTTCTGCTGCCGTGTGTTAGGGGCAGAGGGGAAGCAGGAGACCGGTGACAGGCCGTCACAGCCCTCCAAGAGATGGCGGGACTCAGGCGAGGGTTGGGCAGCAGTGCAGTGACTGTCAGACTTAGGGTGTGGTGTGAAGGTAAGACACGTGGTGGATCAAATCCAGAGTGTGCCCAGAGGGGTCACATCTTCCTGCAGGGTTTTGGCCGGAGCACTTGCAAGCTCCTGAGGTTGGGGCCAGTGGCAATCCAAGCTTGCTCTGGGTCACTTGACCTTCCGACATCTGAGGGAGGTGCCAGGCCGCTGGTTGGCTCTGGGAGTCCTGGGCTCAGAGGTTGGGCTGGTTGAGGACTGGCCACACCCTGAGCCCTGGGCTGAAGCAAATGAGGTGGGGGTGGGGGGCAGAGGAGCAGGCTGGGGCTGGGAGGGTGGCAGAGAGTGCAGGGAGGTGAAGGGCAGGTGTGCGGAGGAAAGAATGACAGACTCCGGGGCGGGGGGGGGCTCCCTAGTGACTGGACACGGTGTCCTGAGGGACGCAGGGACAAGGTGTGATTGGAGTGTTTACAGAAAGGCTGGAGGAGAGAAAGGGAAGGGGGGGGCTCCTCCCGGGAGGTCTGCGGGGAAGGAGCAGAGATCCAAGCAGGAGGGAGAGGCCCTGCAGAACAGGCAGAGGGAACAGGTCAGGGAGAGCCAGGGTACGCTCCATGGGGTGCAAGGAGGAAGGTGACCCCGTGCACGTGGGCGCCAGGGACACAAGGCTGGAAGGGGTCCCTGCACCCCGCACCTGACCAGCTCAGCCTCTCTCCGCCTCTCCCCATGGAAGGTGCTGCCCCCGCCTCATAAGGGAGCCCCCTATGCTCTCCTGCTCTGCTGGGTACCCCTGGGACCCCTCCTGCCCTCAGGGTGGAGCCCATCTCAGGCTCACCTGTCCCTGCTCCACCCCCCCCACCTGTGACCAGGTAGACTGTTGGCCTCAGCCTGAGGGCATGACCATGAAGTCACAGGACCGCTGTTGAGCACGCAGACCAGCGTCTGGTCATCCAGTTGGCAAAGACCATGGGGGGCGGGCTGTTGGGTGAGGTCCGAGCACTCACGCCCACCACACCCTTTCAGGAGGGGGTTAACTCTGAACACCGTCTCAGCCAGCTGAGGCTGCGTAACAAAACCCCACACGGCACAGGCATTTATTAAACGAGACCTTCGTTTCTCACAGCTCAGGAGGCTGGAGACTCCAGATCAGGGTCAGCGGGATGCCACTTCCTGGCCTACAGGTAGACGGCCACCTTCTCGCAATGTCTTCACGTGGCCTTTCCTCGTGAGCTTGTGGACAGAGAGGGAGCTCTCTGGGGTCTCTTCCCATAAGGACGCTAGGGCCATTGTGGGGCCCCACTCGCACGAGCCTCAAACGCCAATCCCCTCTCAAATGTACTTCCTAGCACCGTGACATTGGGGGTCAAGTTTCCATGAACGAACGTTGGGGAGACACAGTTCAGTCCCCAGCAAACGCCCAAAGCCACCTGGAGGGACTGTGCCTCTCCCCCTCCCAGGTCAAGTCTTGCTGTGACAGCTGTTTCCCGGGTCTCGCTGTCCCCATCCACGTGCTGAGGGAGCCAGCGGGGCGTCTCGGGCAGCCAGCGGGTGGGGTGTGTGCTGCCCCCCTGAAGGGTTCTCCCGGTCCCTCCTCTGCCAGCCATCCTCCCACAGAGTGCCCGGTGAGCGCCCCCTTCCTGCCGTGCGAAGGCGGGTCGAAGCAGGGCCTCCCCGCCCCAGGACCAGCCCCACCCCGTGAGAAACAGGGAAGGCTGATGCCAGGGACACTGTGAGCCCACTTGGTGCAGTCTGCATGGCCGGTGCTACTTCACCCCACACCGGCTCCGGGGGCACCGGGCTTTGCTCAGCACCTTGAACACAACACAGGTCATTTCTCAAACCCAGAGCGCCCCCGGCCCTTCAGCCCATGTTGATTTAATAAAAGGTGTTTAGGAAAAACACATTGTTTGTAAAATGCAGCCAAATTCAGAAACATTAAAATAGGGAGGGGAAGGGGGTTGTATCTTAGAATCTGAGAAACAAGGCAATGCTAGCAGCTTCCAAGCTTCCGCTGACTTTCCCAGGGGCTCAAAGCCCATGGCCGCACCCTGGAAACCCCCAGATCCGCTCCTCCACCCCGTGAGAGTGCCTCCAATTGAAAAACGTTTGATTTCACGGTGATTCCGACGTGGGAAGGTCTGCATCTTGGAGTTGATGAAGTGAGGCATTTGTGTTCCTGTTTTACAGAGGGGGAAACTGAGGCTCCGAGGGCCACGGACTACGGTTAAGAGCACGTGGCACATATTTGACAGAGGGAGTCTCAAACCTGAGTGCCCCTGATGCTCCCAAAGGCGGGGCTCCCTGCCGGCTCTGAGTGCCGCAGCCACACCAGCTTGTGTGGCGGCCGGAGGGGCCCGAGCCCCGGAGGGCAGCGCACCTGTGCCTTTTCTGCGCCCCGCGCGCAGTTCTGAACTCCTACCGCAGTCCTGACTCCGGAGCGGCCGGTCCTCCGAGGCCCCGCCTCCACCTGGCATTAGAAACAGCGCCCGTGCTCCCAAAGACCTGCCAGGAGCATTATTCCAGAACACTGCCCTCCCAGTGACACCGGGCAGAAAGCGGGATGGTGGACACGGAGGCACGGGACGGGGTCCCTTCTACCCCAGTCAGAGGCGGAGGGCGGGACTTGGCAAGGGCTCCGAGCATCATCGAACACCCGGCCGTGTCCTGTTACGGCCCCACACGGGGAGAAGGCCCCACGGCAGTCCTGGGAGGCCCGGGCGCACGGGCGTGCGCTTGCGCCCTAAACCTGCAGTCGTGTTTTGCAAACACTGCCTCTGCTCCCAGCTGTGCTCATGGGGGTGAGGGACGGTCTCAGCAAAGGCACGCTGTTGGGGCGATAGGTATAGAGAAGCAGCTTGGCGTCTGAGCCTAGGGTGTGCGAGTAGGGCTGCAGGCACAGACTGGGACTCGCAGACATTCCCGGGGTGGCGGGGGGCGGATGCTGCCTGGGGAGCCAGCACGGACAGGACCGGTCTGACCCACTGAACTGGTTTTGTGTGGGTGCTCAATGGACAGCCATGTCCCCTCACTGCCAGAGAACCTGGCCTGGGGGTGGGGACCCAGCCTGCTCACTCGGCCTCCCACCCCTCCCCCGGGGAACCAGATGGCCCTGGCACAGGAAGGCACCATCCAGACGGGTGCACGCCGCTGTCACTTCTGCGTACCTGCCCTCGTGGCCCCTGCTGAATCTCACAGGGGTGGCTCTTATGGCCGCACACGGCAAGGGATCAAAAGGCTTCCTAAAGCGGGGCTGGTGACCTGGCTTTTGAAATGCTGAAGGTGCGTTCGTGGGCATTTTATGCAGGAGGATACAGCTAAGAGGAGCTGCTGAACGAGACAGATCACTGCAAAATTAAATGTGGGCTTTAACTGAGAAATAATCGTTTTCTATGAAGGATAATGACTTTTCTGGAGGCTGGTACCAAGATTTATCGGCCCAAGAGGTTAGCAGGGATTGAGCCAAGGCGAGAACAGTGGGGCCTGGAGGCAGCGGCATGCTGGTTTGGAAGTTGCGCCTGGTCAATATCAGACTGGCCTTGGGAGCCCGTGCGCTCGCCGTGAGACGGAGGGCTTCTGACACCCTCCACCACGCTGACCTGAAACACGTAAGTTATTTTGTGGCGTGGGCTCCCTTGGATCCCGCTGTCGTAGACGAGGGGCCCCGGGTGCGGGGGGCCCCCACACAGGTCATTTGGGAGGCCCTCGGCCCCCCCACGGCGACCAGAAAGGGGACGATGGAGTTTGAGGCAAATCTGCGGGGTTTTGAGGTGGGAGATTTATTACCATGCCAAACGTTTGTGTGTAAAATACATAATCCCTCACACCCGGCCTCGTAAATCCAAAAGGGTCAGTAATAAATAGGAAAAAAATAAAAAATTACAGACTAATTTGTTCAGAAAACTAGAAGGAAATCAATAGGAAAGCTGTAGCTCAGAACCTGTTTTGAAATCCTACACGCACAGTAAGCACACATTCCCCCCCCCCCGCCCCCGTCCAAGCCTCTCCCGCGCTCCCCAGTGGGGGGGGGGGTATCCTCCGAAATCACCATGAACCGTCTCAGCTGGTGCCTCCCTGAGCTGTGAAACAGGATGGGCCAGCGTGTGACAAAGGTCGGTCTGGTGAGCAGCTGGCCTGGATACCCGAGGCCGCCCCAAAGCTGGGACCTGGTGGAGGGCTGCCTGGAGGAGGCCCCCTGCTCCCGAGCTAGAAGGTGGTGGGCACAGGCAGAACTCAGGGCCTGGCCAGGCCCGTTTTGGAGACATCCCCCAGCTACCGGCGAGTGCACGGAAGTCGCCGTGTCCCCAGGGGTCCATAAATGTGGTCTCAGGAATTCCTCTACTGAAGATGGGAGGCCTGTGACCCTGGACGGGAGGCGCCAAGCCCTAGAGGCAGCAGCACCCTGCCAGCACCTCTGCAAACTGCTCCCTGCTCCGAGGTCACCCTGTGTCCCCGAGGGCTCATTCGATGATGGGCAGCCCCCAGGAAATGGGCGCTGGCCTCTCCCAGGAGTCCTGAGCCCGCCGGGAGTCCTTGGCTCACCTACCGCCGGAGGGCAGGCCCGGGGCTGGCTGGGGGCCTCCGGCCCTTGAGTTGATGGATCTGTAACAGCCCTAGCGGAGCCGGCCCACACGGAGCCCCTCGGCCTCCAGAAGCCTGGGGTGTGAGTCCACGCAGAGGTGACCCCTGGCCCGCCTCCACCACCCCTTGCTTCCCTGTCCCCCCAGAACGACTCTCTCTCTTCTCCTGGCCTTTGCTGATGGCTCTCCCTCCTGGCACGTGGTCTCCAGCTCATCCTTGGGGGCTGCTCCCCTCCGGATGGTTCTCTGTCAAGTCCGTGACCTCCACACCTTGCCTTGACCGGCCAGCCTCTAAACATGCCCCACACAACCTTTTACCTTCCTGCCCCTTAAAGTCTTTGGATCAAGGGCCCTTCTGGGCGCCTGATGGATGCAGTGGACCCAACGTCCAGAAAAACGCAGAGCCCAGTGCTCTTGCTGCCACGTCCCCACCCAGGCCTCAGCCCAGCACCAGATGATCACTCGAGGGGCCATGGCGGCTCTGCCCTCGGTGGCCCAGGCTTCCCAGGGCCTCCCATGCACGACCGCCCACATGGCACAAGGGCACCACAGCACTGCGTGTCCCCACAGGCCCCATCTTTCTGGGGTTGTGCAGCGGCCGCCAGGCCAGCCTGAGGGACACGGCAGCTCCTCTATCGAGGGGCCGCCGGCTGCGCCAGCTCCGAGAGCACAGCCAGCGAGTCGCATAGGATCCTTTTGCTGAGCTGGCTGGAGACCAAATCCACCACCTCGGCCCCCTCCACGTCCGGCGGGTCAGCGCAGGGGCCCGCACCCGGAGCAGGAGCTGGGTCGCCGGGTGACAGGGTTGGTGGAGCCTCCCTGGCCGTGAGGGCCGCTCTGGGCAGGGCTGGGGGCTGCACCGGCAGTCTCGGGAGCCCTCTCGGGCCATCGCCTGCCCCCCCACACAAGGGGGACCCTAGGCAGCGGGCCGGTTCAGACCACTGGCTGCTGCCCACAGCCTGGTCCCCGGCAACAGAACTTGATTCACCCAATTTGTCCCTAAGGCTTCCGCCCTGTCTGCCTGCCCCCAGGCGGAGCCCTGACTCCTGGGGGCCTGGGGACGGCGCCTCAGGTGTGTCCTCCGCAGGCAAGGAGGGCAACTCCCCGGTTCTAATGGAGGCATCCTCCCCCGGGGGGCCCAGCGAGCCCCTGGGGGACATGGTGTCCTCAGGCGGGGAAGGGAAGTCTTCTGAGTCGGGGCTGGTGGCGTTGGCCAAATCCTCTGCTGGGAGGGCGGGCGGCGGAGGAGGGAGGCGGGCGTCCCTGCAGGCGGAGGACAGGTCGGCACTGCCATAGGACAGCACCTCGTCGACGGGGGACAGGATCTCGGGCAAGACCCCACTGGACAGAGCGGGGCCGGCTTCCTCGGGGACAGGGGAGTTTCCACGCCCCCCATGTGTGGGGGTCCAGCCCTGGGGCGTCGGGGCCGCTGGACGGCCAGGGTCCCCGGGAGGGGTCCCCGGGGTCACAGGGACCTCAGGCTCAGACCAGGGCTGCCGTGGTGCCCTGTCACTGGATAGGCTCGGGGCAGCATCCCAGGGCCCCTCGGGGCAGCCAAGTGAGGCCTGCAGAGGCCTGGTCTCTCCTCTGCCCAAACCCACCCTGTCGGATGCCAGGGACCCCAAGGGAGAGGAAGGGGACAGGTCTAAGTCACTGGAGGAAGGGGGCCTGGGCGGGAGAAGCATGGGGGCAGCCTCGGGGGACATCTGTTTGGCTTCTCCTGTATCGGATCCACTGATGAGGCTCCCAGTGCTTCCAGACGCTTCCTGCCCCTCCCCAGGGCCCAAGGAAGCGAGTGCAGGGCTGGACGCCCCGCTGGTTTCCAGGTAGGATGAGCCTCCGGGAGATGAGGAGCATCCCGAGGCTAGCTTGGCACCAGAGCCAGGCTCCAGAAGGTTCTCCTCGTCCCAGACCAGGCTGGACGCCTCTGACAGCTCTGACCCTGACCTTGGAGAGGCGGCATCAGGGGGAGGAGGCAGCCCGCCCTGCTGCAAGGGCCCAGCCCCGCCACCCTCCGGCCTCTCCCAGGACACCTGCCCCCCGCCCCGGGGGGGCCCCCAGGAGTCTTGAGGAGAGAAGTCGCCGGACCAGCCGGGGTCCGTGTCTGGGGTGTCCCCGGCTTCCCAGTCTGACAGGGAGACGGAGCTCTCGGAAAGCTGAACCAGGAGGGCACACGCTCTCTGAAACTCCCGGGGAGAGCAGCTGGACCGCGCGCTCGGGGAGGAGGAGGCCCGGGACCCTGCCCGAGACCCCGAGCGGCTCCGGCTCCGGGGAGCAGCCTCGGACTCAGCGCCTGGGTCCGAGGGGCCCCTGAGCGGCGGCACGGGACTGCCCTCACGCCGGGAGGGTGGCGCTGGCGCGGAGGCTGCAGAGGAGGGGGAGTTCGGGGTGAGCCCCCACCCTCACCCCCTGCCACCCCCGCGGCCCACACCCCACGGCCCCTAAGCCAGCGGATCAGGACCAGAAGGGCCCAGATGGAGGCGGAAGGAATGTCCACGGGGCCCAGCCCTCCGGTTCTGCACCCGCTGGCTCTGGCGCCCGCCCGCCCGCACGAGCAAGGCAGCCACGTCGAGGCGGACGTCTCCGTGACTCGGGGACCCGGCCTCAGAGCTGCAGCTGTCCTGTTTCAGGGGCTCTCCCTACAGGCCTTCACTTGGACCGCGATGGGGCTGGTCGGGGCAGGGCTCCCCGGTGGGGCTTTGGGGGAAGGGTGGCTGAGGAGCTGGTGGCCGATGAGCCCCAGGTGGGGAGTCCATGTTCCCGGGGCAGGCGGGGCCTCACCTGGAGCAGCGGGCAGCTGGGCGGCTTCCGGTGGAGAGAAGGGGCCGCAGGGGTCCTCCGGCACACGGGTCTCCATCCTGAAAGCACATTGGTGCCGAGGTCCCAGGGGGCTCCCAGGAGAGGGCCCCATCCCCCTCGGCCCTGTCCCCATGGCTCGGGGCCTCCAACTCCCCCTGAGCTTGACACCCATGCCTGCCACGAGTGCCCCTCGGTGGCGGCAAGGGCCCATGTTTAGGGGGTTCTGGCCTCAGTCCCCACGGGATCAGGTCTGGGGGGGTGTTGGCTTCTGAGAGGCTCAGGGGCACGTGTTCCCTGGAAGCCCCCCCCCACTCCCCCCCACTGGATTCTGGCCGGTTCCCCAGGTGGCGTCTGAGCTTCCACAGACGGGGTCAGACTCAGGAGGGCGTGGGGGTGGGTTGAGGGGCACTGAGGCCCCGGTCAGGGTGAGGGGCACCCGGACAGAGTGGGTTTCTTCCAACCGGAAGACGGGCATCTGTCTCCACGCCCCAGGTCCCCAGCCCCTGCCCGCGGGTCCCCCTGGGCCCAGGCAGCCCCCCAGACCGCATACTTCTGCTCCCTTGACCACCAGCCTTCCATCCTGTGGGGCTCCTCCACAGGGCTGCTGGCCAGATCCAGCCCCAGCTCCAGCCCTGCTCGGCTGAGGCGGCCTTCAAGCACCTGTCGGAGGAAGACCACAGCCAGAGTGCAGCCAGTGCCCCTAAACCGTCAGTCCCCGCCCCTTAGCCGTGGACGAAGCCCTGTGCTCCCAGGACTGCCATAAGGAACAAAGACCATCCCCTTACAGAGGAATCCAGCCGGGAAGGGCCAGAGGCCCCGTCCCATCAACTCCGCCATCTGGTGGACAGGGTGGCCCCGCCCAAAGCCGCACGGTAGACCCCGCAAAGCAAGGCCAGGCCCCCACTCTGCCTGCAGCCAGGGCAGGACCAAGCCTCGACTCACGCTGGCTTCCAGGGGCCCGCAGGGACCCCCTCCGCCCGGGCAGTTTGGGCTCTGGAGTTTCTGTACGCAGCTGTCCGTCAGAGGCCGGGCCTTCTCTGCTGGCGAGGGGCTGGGGTTGGTCTGGGGGTCTCCTGGGAGGCAAAGGGACTGTCAGCACTGAGGGGCACAGAAAGGGGGCCATGGGGGCACAGTGTCGAGGAATTATGAAGATCAGCCTCGGGAAAGGGGCACACGCCCTGAGCTGGGCCCTCACTGCACCGGGGAGCAGACGGAGGGAGGGGAGGATGGCCTCCGAGCCCGCCCACCCCACGCCGCCTGGAAATGTCCGTCCAGGTGCAGCCAGGTGATGCTCCTGTGGAGGTGCGCTGTGCTCCCAGACACGGAGCGGGAGGTCACACCACGTGTAAGGCGTGCCAGGACGCAGGTCTGTCTGACCTCAAGCCCGCTGCTGCCCCCAGTTGCCAGGGCCCACTGACAGAGTGCCCATCTGTCCTCCGCTCCCACCGCCGCTGCCGTGCCTGGTTACCTTGGCCCACAGGGCAGTGGCTCTCTGCCAGCAGACCCCCCGCGTCAGGCCAGCTGCTGGCCGCAGGTGCGTCCTCTCCCCACACAGGCCTTGGAGGAGGCCGGTGACTGTCCGCAGCTGAGGTTGCCTGGGGGGGCGTCCCGTCCGCCTGCTCGGTGAGAAGGCTGTAAGGCAGTGCGTGGGGGCTGTGACTGCCTACCTGGCTGTGCCCTCCCCGGGGGACAAGCCCTGACCACGACATTCCACGGATGGAACAACGTGCATCACATCCAGGGGACAGCTGTGGTTGGTGGCCCAGTGGTCACCACCCGGGTGCAGAAAAACAGGTCCTGGGCCCTCCCCCCAACGCAGCTTCCCAGGCAGACGGGGCCACTGCCGGGGGCCGGTGAGGCGCAGGGTTGGTGCTGGGGCATGATGGGCCGATGCGTCTGTCTGTCCCCCAGCACTCGGTGCTCCATCAAGAGTTCTGCGTGGGAGGGGCGCCTGGGGGGCTCAGTCAGTTGAGCGTCCGACTTCGGCTCAGGTCATGATCTCACAGTTCGTGGGTTCGAGCCCCGCGTCGGGCTCTGTGCTGACTGCCAGCTCAGAGCCTGGAGCCCGTTTCAGATTCTGTGTCTCCCTCTCTCTCTCTGACCCTCCCCTGCTCACACTCTCTCTCTCAGAAATAAATTAAAAAAAAAAAAAAAAAAGAGCTCTGCGTGGGGACAGACCACCGGGTCCGCCTGAGTCCCGGGAGGCCGCATGCCCAGCCCCGCTGCCATGCCCTGGGCACACTGACGGGCATCGGGAAACCGCCCCCATGCCAGCCTCAAGGAGGCGGCTGGGGGCAGGTCTCCTGACCCCTGGACAGAAGGTCAGTGCCCACAGAGGGCCAGCCGGGGCACGGGCCACTCTCTCCGGTGCGGCTTGACTGGTTTCTGTTACTTTCTCCGCAAGCACTAGCTACAGCTCACCCGGGGGGTGCTGGGTACCTGCCCCCGGGTTCATACCCACGTCGGGGGGTGTACAGGGAGCAGCGTTGCAGGGCCTTCCTCAGCGCCTAGAATCTGGGGGCCTTTGCAGGGGGAGACGACACAGGGGCTGGAGCTCTGGGCTCTCGGGGGCGAGGCCTGGGAGGCACCCGTCTGCGCCAGTGTGTGCCGGGTGCAGGCCCCTACCTGGCCCCAGGAGCAGGGACCTGAGGACAGACAAGGGGCATGTCCCTGAGCCCATCACCGCCCCTCAGAGCTGCCACAGGAGCGCAACAGGCTAACTCAAACTGGACCGGGCCCCTGGAGCCCTTTGAAAGGCTTGCTGCCCCTCCCCACCCCTCCCCATGCTCTGTCTCAGGCCAGAAGCCCGGGCGGGCAGAGTGCAGGGGCGTGGCTCCACAGGCAGAGCTCTGGGCTGCACCTGGGCCCTGGCCCCCAGGCAGCTCTGCTGAGCTCCTCGGGGCGGAGCAAGAGATCGACAGGCGCCTCGTTCTCTGCGTAGCTTGGCCCCAGCAGACCATGGGAGGTCGGCGGTTAGAAGACGTCTGAAACCTTCCCTACGTGCGCACAGCCTTTCTGTTCCCTACCTTTCCAGCGGTGACGGCGCATGGCTGCTGTGATGAGGACAGCCAAGGAGGCCCCCCCGCCCCCCCCGCCTGTGCTAACGCCCCCCCCCCCCCCGCAGCCTCGAGAACAAGCTCCTGGGCACCAAGGGGGGGGGGGGGGGGGGGGCGGCTCCTCTGTAATTAGAGTCTGGCCGTGGGCAGCCGGCCCTGGGATTATTTAAACTAAGACAGAGGAAGGAGGCGGTCCCAGCGCAGGCGTGTCTGGAGGCTCTTGATGGGAAAAGCAGCTTGCCCTCTCCCACGGCGAGGCTCTGGCTCAGGAGGCACTGCTCACCGGGCTCCCCCTCTGCCCTCACGGTGACTCAGCCAGGGCAGGGCCCCTCTAGTGTGCCGGGAGAGGCCCTTCTGCTGCCAAACGAGCCCAGCAGCCACGTGGCCAGGCCCGTGAGAGAAGGCCCGGTCGCCACAGCTGGCAGAAGGGCCCCATGCCAGCCTGGGGGGTGTTCCTGGCAGCCAAGTGGCCACCCAGGTGCTGCCCGCTGCCCTGAAGCAAGGCCTGTCTACTTGCTTTGTCTCGGGGATGGTGGCAGCCCCGTCCCCAGTTAACAGATGAGACGAGGACACCCCAGGGCCACACCCCGGCCAGCAGCACAGCTAGGAAGGAGCCAGTGCCTGCCTGTGCCCCTCCCGCTGGACCAGGGCGGCTCCGGCCTCCGCCCACATCCCCATGGGCCAGCCAGCCGCAGCAGGGTCCCCTCAGTGCCCCCAACACACCCCTCCGCTCGGCAGGGCTGACAGGTGCAGGGCCCAGCAGCCGTGAGCACGGGGCCACGAAGCACAGAAAAGGGTTTTAATGGTGAGCACCGGGGCGGGGTCCGCCCAGGACAACTCACTGTTGGACTCGTAGGGTCTCAGGGCTTGTCCGGGGGCAGTGGCTGGCAGAGCTGCCCGGCCTGGGAGGTGTCGAGGGGCGCGAGGAGCCCTGTGCGGGGCCCTTCGGCTGCAGACTTGCTTTGGACTTCTCCGTCTGAGTGGTCTTGACTCCGAGGCCGGAACTCTAGGAGAGACAGCCCGAGGGAGCTGGCACGGACGCGCGGGGCTCGCTCCCCTCAGGGAAAGTGGGAGGCAGCTTCACGCCAGCGCGGTGCCCAGCGTGCCCCACAGGGCGCTTTCACCCGGGAAGCAGGTGGTCCTAGCCCCGCAGGGGCCCTGCATCCCGTGCTAACGGCCCGAGGCGGGGGCAGACACAGGCCGGGGAGTCCTTGCCCGAGGCTGCCCCGGGTCACTGAGCTCACATCCAAGGCCGTGCTCTGGTACCAGGCAGCCCTGGGTCACCTCTCCTGCAGGCCGGCCTGGGGTAGGGAAGACACCTCCTCCTGCTCCCCCCGCAGGGCGACTGCTAACCAGAGAACCCAGTTCATTCCGTCCCCATCCAACCAGGTGGGGCCACAGCGTCTCCAGCGCAACAGAGGAAGCGCTCAGGCTGGGGACAGCGGCCCTGCTCTGTGTCCACACAGCCCCCTCCATGGGACAGGCGGTAGAGACGGGGAGCTGGAGCAAGGATACCCTTGATGCTCGGGGTCCCACAAGGGGCTGCCCCCCAGGAGCCCAGGCCGCCTCTGCTTCTTGCCTCAGCCCCCACCTGCCCCGCCCCGCGGTGAGTACAGCCCTGGCCCATTCCGGGCTCTAGCCTCACCTCCCTCCTTCCCACTGGGCTTCCCTCCTGCACCTCTGGGCCTGGAGCAACTTCCGCTGCGGGGGCTGGGGGGGTGAGAATTCCTCCTCCAGAGCCCAGTCGGGCCACTGTGTCCAGGAAACCTCCTTGGGTGGCCCCTGCCTTCTATTTGCACCTCTCCTTGTCCCTCCCCTCCCTGGGTCACAGGCATTTTTACGAGGGACAGTCCCACAGAACAGCCAGGTGACGACGAGCATTTCCCGGCCTCCAGCCCAGGGAGGGCGCCCACCTGAGGCAGCCTGGTCCGGGCCTGAAGCTCCCGCCGCAGGTCCGCCATGGATCTCTGCAGTGAGACGATGTCTTTTTGATGCTGCAGAAGAAGTTTCCTCTCTTGGTGTGAAAACAGGTGGATGTTCCGCAGGGATCGGATTTCTCTCTGAACCAGCCAGAGAAGACGTCAGCAACCCCCCCGAAGCCCGCACCAAGGCACACATTGGAAAGAAGCGTGCGTGGTCAACAGGATGAGGGGTGTCTGGGGGGGCAGCCGGGCTCCGACGGGGCTTCCCTGAGCCCCTCCAGACGCGCCGCCCTTCTCGTCCCGTTCAGCGTGGCAGCCCACGGGGGGCTTAGCAGGAAGCAGGAGGGAAGGCCGGGTGTTGTGCCCTGGGCAGCCCAACCGAGATTAGCACAAGCCGGCTGCCCTCCTGCCCTCCCCCCTGCGACCCTCCCTCTCTCCAGGTTCTGGGCACTGCCCCCAGCCCCTGAACTTGTCCCTTTGTTAAACTGTCCCCATCTGTCCTCTGGTCCCTGCTTTGTCTCTGGCGGCACATCCTTCGGTGGCCACCTTGCCTGGTGCACCTGGGGGGTGGAGGCCTTCCTAGAGGAAACAGGCTCGGAAACCACCCTGAGAACCTCCTCTGTTGAGCTGGGTGCCTTGCGCAAGCCCTAGTGGCTGGGGGCCCGGACCCCGGCCTCCCCCATAGCGGCTCTGCCTGCAGCACGGAACCTCATTGCCATTGATAACTGGACCTCCTCACAGCTCACGGTCAGGGTGAGCCCAACAGATGGTGTCACCTGCACTTTCGCCTCTGGGTCTCCTCCTGTGGCCCCCAACACCTGCCATGCCCCACATCCACCACCTCACCTCCCTGGCCCATACCGGCCATCTAGGGCGGAAGTTTTCCGCCAACCCAAAGTCCAGCACTACCCCTCACTTCCCCTCTGAGAATCCCTGAGTGAGGCAAGCTCCCTATATTGAGCCCTGGTTTCTTCATTTGCATAAAGTGGGGGGCGATTAACACCAGTCCCCACCACATGGCATGCTGGGACACTGATGAGATCACCAGCACAGCGGCCCCTGTGCCCATTTTCCAGGCAAGGAAACTGAGCTGGGAGCGGCTAGGGAGCCTCTTTGCAGTGGTACACATTCACCCTGGTCAGTGCTGACTGTACTAAAGTCCCTAAAACCCCTCAACAGACACTGCTGTCCCTCTCCCGCTCATGAGGCTCCAAGAGGCCATGGGGCCACACCCCATCCAGGCCACACCGCTCCCACCCCTGCCACTGGGCGTTCCCCATGCCCTGCAGGGTCCTGAGCGGTCCTGGAGGGTGGTGAGGGCTGGGGACTGATCAAGGTGCCGTGCAGAAGGTCCACATTCCCAGCTTGAGGGTGGCCGGACCAACCTGGTGCCGGTCACCTGCCCACCGGCCGGGCTTGAGCCACCCTTACCTGCTCCTGCTCAAGCTTCCTGAGCGCCTGCTCTTGCCTCTCTGCCAAGGCCGCCAGCATTGTGTCCTTCCCCTTGCTGCACAGACACCTGAGAGGGGACGCAGGGCAGGACTGACTGTCCACCTCGGGTCCAGCAAGGGGGTGTGAAAACAGGCCAGCCAGGTGGACCTGGGGTGCCCCCCCCCACTGCAAGGCTCTAGGAGGCGGTGCCAGGCTCTAGGGGAAGGCCGGGGACCCCTGGGGGCCTGTGGCTGATCCAGCCTGTCACTGCCCACCCACTCTTCACGACCACTTTCGGGCCTGACACACGAAGGGAGGGCAGCGCCTCCCACCCGGGAGCTGTAGCCCACCCAAGGGGTCCCCTGGGGAGGGGCGCGGGGGCCCATCACGGGATAGAACTCCCGCAGACGGCTGGGGTGAGGGCAGGGGGTGGGCCTTATATGGAATATGCGTTCGGGAAGCCAATGAGGGAAAAGCAAGAAGCTTAAACAGAGCTTCCTCCCGGACACTGCGGCCCCACTTCCAGGCATTTCCTTTAAGGGGCGTGTCTCCTGCGTGGCCAGCGGAGGCCCCACCACGGGGTCTTGAGGAGCTGTGCGGTCAGTCGGGGCGGGGCCCCGCGCCCCCCCCCCCGCACGATCCAGCGGCTACACGGGCTCCGAAAGCTTTCGTGACTTGCGAGTGGAAACCCAGGTCGCAGGACAGCGGGGCGTGAACTTGGACAGCTGTAAAACAGCCCCGTGTATCTCCCGCAACGAGGGCTGGCACGACAGCCTGGAAAATTCGCAGGGGCTGTCTGGGGGAGGTGGGACTACGGGTGCTTTAAATGGTTACGTGTTTGTTTTGGGGACTTGAGTGCCTTATATAACTTTCCGCAAACACCCATTACTATCTGCTTCGGTTCGGGGTGTTCCCCGCAACGGGTGCAGGAGTCGGGCGGGCGGGAGGCGGGGCCCGGGCGGGGGCGGGGCGACCCGGGGCTGAGGGGCGGGGCCCGGGCGGGAGGCGGGGCCCGGGCGGGGGCGGGGCCGCGCGTGCGCTCACTCTCGCTGATGCTCCAGCCAGGCCAGCTCGGTGAGCATCTTCTCCTCCAGCACTTTCTCGCGCAGGCGCAGTATAGCGGCCTGGTGCCGCGCGCGCAGCTCCTCATCCCGCAGGCTCAGGTCGAGCATGTGCAGCGTGAAGCGGCCGAAGGCTCCGGGGTTCGTGCTCCAGGGCCCCGGCAGGCTCCGCTGCGGCGGGGCAAACCGACCGGGCCGGTCCAGGACCAGCTTCGCTGGGCGGCAGCGGTGCCCAGCCTAGGGGAGGAGGCTGCAGCCCTCCCAGACTGCGCGCTCCCCCCCTCCCCTAGTCGTGCCTCCTTTTCTGGGGCGGGGTACCCCCCACCCGACTGTGAGCTCTCAAGGGCAAGGCGGGGTCCGCATCATCTTGGTCTTGTGCCCAGCCTGATTCAGGCTGAGAGGATTGAGGAAAGACTGGGCCACCTGCCCTGAAATGTGCAACCTGATGGGTGGGGGCCAGCCCTGCCTGAAGCACTTTGCTGAAATGCCTGCTTTCACCTACCACACCAGGCAGAAGGAAGGGGCTTGGGCAGGGGTCAGTTGGAAGGGTAGGAGGTGCCCCCCCCCCAGCCCAGGATCTGCAGCAGAGATCCTCTGAGTGCCGGCTCTAGGAGAGGGGGTCTCAGCGCCTGTCAGCTCCAGGCAGCTGAGGGAGTATTTGGGTCTAAAAGCTAATGCCAGTGCCTCCCGTGAACCCCCCTCCCCAGAGTACCTCTCCCTGTACCTGGTGGTTGGGGTTGTCCTGACCGTAGACCCTGGCCAGAGGCAGCTGGGTGGGGGCTCGGGCTGGGCTCTCTTCCTGCCTGAGCTCTGAGGACAGAAAGCAGTTGGTGGTGGGGCCGTGTAGGAGTCCTGGGCAGCCTGCTGGGTCACATAAGGGCTCCGGTGGCCTTTTCTGCAGGACGGCCTCTCGAAGGTAGGAGGTCTGGAGTAGTTTAATACCCTCCACGTACGCACAGCTTCACCCCAGATCTTCACAAGGCCACACCAGGGGGGCTTAATTGTCCCTTTTGTCCCGATGTGAAGCTGCGTGGAGCCCACTGATCATACAAACGACCAGACCCTGAGGGGCCTCGGGATGACTTGGTCCCACTGCCTCACTTTGCAGGAAGGAGAGACTGAGGCCCAGAGCCGGAGCGTGGCCCCTTCGAGGCCCAGCATCACGCCGGCGCTGAGGCTGCAGGTGCTTAGGCAGCTGTTGGCCTTGGCCGCTGCTAGCTGTCCCTCTGCCCTGGGTGGATGGAAAAGGGACTCTATGGTTTTAGAAAGTTAACTTGAGGACTTGTGCTTCCGGCCAAGAGAGTAAAAGGGAGCGGATCGTGGATTTACTGTGCCACTAAAAATGACTTCAGGGGCACCTGGGTGGCTTGGTCGGTTAAGCGTCCGACTTTCGCTTAGGTCATGATCTCGCGGTTCGTGGGTTCGAGCCCCGCGTCGGGCTCTGTGCTGGCTGCCGGCTCAGAGCCTGGAGCCTGTTTCAGTCTGTGACTCCCTCTCTCTCTGACCCTCCCCTGCTCAAGCTGTCTCTCTCTCTCTCCTAGAAATAAATAAAAAAAACATTAAAAATGACTTCAAAAAGTAGCAAAATAGGGACGCCTGGGGGGCTCAGTCGGTTAAGCGTCCGACTTCAGCTCAGGTCATGATCTCACGGTTCGTGAGTTTGAGCCTTGCGTCGGGCTCTGTGCTCACAGCTCAGAGCCTGGGGCCTGCTTCCGATTCTGTGTCTCCCTCTCTGCCCCTCACCTGCTCGCACTCTATCTTTCTCTCTGTCTCTCAAAAAAAAAAATAAATAAACATTTAAAAAAGCAGCAAGACAAAAAAAATTACTTATGTATATGCATGCACACATATATGAATCTCCACACATATATATGTGCAAGAACAATTGTTCAGAGCCTGGGCATCAGGCCATATAGCACAGTGATCCCTGAGACAGAGAAAACAAATTAGGTGAGACCCCTGATTGCCCCAGCTTACTGCCTTGGGAGTGTTTCTAGGCTGCACTGCAAGAAGGGGAAACTGAGGCAGAGCCTCTTGGACCCCCAGAAGAGACGAGATGGAGCTGAGAGTCTGGAGAGACCGAGGCATCTAAAGCTTGTGGGAAAAGGACCAGAGAGAAGACAGCTACACTGAGTGAACCTGGAGATTTGGAGCGTCCCCCACGAGCGTTCAGTGGGAACTGGCAGTAAAAGCATGTGAGGAAGTTCTCTGTGCTGGGGAGAGAAGCATCTGGAAGGAGCAGAGCCTGGGGGCTATGCCTGTCTCCCCTAGCTGGGCTGGAAAACCTTGTGATCCACGGGTCTCAGGGCGGGGCACACAGAAGGTCCTGCCTTGGTCCCAGACTGAGCCCTCCTTCAAACCCACCTAACAGATTAGGGAAACAATACCAGGAAGGCTTCCAGAACAAAGCTCACAACTGTGTGTGGGGCTCCCAGCAAGGTAAACGTCAAAATATGCGTCAGGCGTGCAAAGAAGAGTCATGAGCTATAACGAGAACAATCAGTTGAAACTGACCCAGGTGGTAGAATTAGCCAGACAAAGACTTTAAAAGCTGTTATAACTTGGGGGTGCTGGGTGGGGGTTGTTAGTCAGTTAAGCATCCAACTTCAGCTCAGGTCATGATCTCACAGCTCATGGGTTCAAACCCCACCTCGGGCTCTGTGCTGACAGCCCAGAGCCTGAAGTCGGCTTCCGATTCTGTCTCCCTCTCTCTCTGCCCCTCCCCGGCTCATGCTCTGTCTCTTGTCAAAAATAAACAAACATGGGGCGCCTGGGTGGCTCAGTCGGTTAAGCATCCGACTTTGGCTCAGGTCATGATCTCACAGTTCATGGGTTCGAGCCCCGTGTCGGGCTCTGTGCTGACAGCTCAGAGCCTGGAGCCTGTTTCAGATTCTGTGTCTCCCTCTCTCTTTGCACCTCCCCCGCTCATCCTCTGTTTCTATCAAAAATAAATAAACGTTAAACAATTTTAAAAAAAGCTTTTATGACTGTATCCCATGTGTTTAAAAAGTTAAGTAGGATCATGGATGATATAAAAAATAAAGTGTCCAAATGGAACTTTTAGGCATGAAAACCCAAATACCCGAGAAGGAAAAGACACTGGATGAGATTGACAGATCAGTCTCTGCAGAAGAAAAGAGTATTGAACTTGAAGGCACAGCAGTGGGAACTCTCCACAAGGCAACACAGAAGAAAAAAGAAACAAACATGAAGAACAGAGCCCTGTGAGCACGTGGCTTCAGGCATCGTAACGACCCAGCGAGTGGAGGCCTGGTGACCAGGAGACGGAAGACACTGCAGCTGAACATCCCCAAGCAGGAGGCACATGATAAACCCACAGGTGCCCGGATGGCAACGCACCCCAGCACCAGACACATAAAGAGAAAGTGCATGCAAACGCCTCGCAGCAAGTAGCTCCAAGGCCGTAACAGAGACAAAGCTGTGACCCGAGGAAAGGGGGAGAAGAGCGAGGCTGACAGCAGCTTGGGGTGAGGGACAGCGCAGCCGGAAGATGGGGGCGCCTCTGCCAGCCGGAGGGGGACACCGTCCGCCGGGGCCCTACACTCCGCAAAGGGTATTTCAGAAACACAGATGAAACTAGTTTATCCTTAGGCACAGAAAAGCTACAAGAATATGTTGCCAGCTGCCCCACGCCGGGAGTGTTAAAGCAGGTCCTTCAGGCAGAAGGCCTGCGATCCAGGGGCGGAATCCTGTCTACACAAAGCAAGAGGGAGCCCCGGGAACGGGTGTGCACAGACTCGCTAAAAGCCGCCCAGGTGTTGAGCATAGTAACGAGGTATCGTGGAGTTCAGGAAAGCCCTGGGTGAGACGCAGAGGGCGCCGGGAGAGCCTCTCGTCACTGCCTGGGCCGTGCGCCGCTGTGTGTGTGTGTGTGTGTGTGTGTGTGCGCGCGCGCGTGCACCGCTGTGTGCGCGCACGTGTGTGCGTGTGTGTGCACACGCGCGCCGCTGTGTGTGCGTGCGTGTGCGTGTGTGCGTGCCGCTGTGTGTGTGTGTGTGTGCGCGCGTGTGCGCACCGCTGTGTGTGTGGTTTTGAGGACTCTCACCTGCAGGGGCCGACTTCCCCTCCTGATTCTGCTGTCCTTCCTGAGGGTCCTGGGAGGGCGCAGCCGCGGCTCTGACCTGGGTGGGGTGTGATCTGCGGGGGGCAGGGTGGGGACCACTGGAGCACAGCCCCCCTCACCAGCCACAGTGCCGTCCCCGACACCCTCCGTCTTCTGTGTTGGGAGGTGGTGGTGGCCCGCCCCCCTCGGGCCCCACCTGGGTCTGGCTGTCACGGTGCTCAGACAAGTCGCCGGCTCCCCCCACTCCGACGCCGGTTTTGGCCTGGCCTCAGTGGAGTGTTTCCCCATCAGCTGCTGTAAGAACAGGAAGGTGGGGTGTGTCGCGGGGGCCCCAACCTCAGAGGCCTCCACGGGAGGCTGACGGTCCCTCCCTGCCCCCCAGACAGGGCTGGACGTGGTGGGGTGGGGGAGGGCGGCAGGTGCCCGTGGACACAGAGCAAGGCCAGGGCTGGAGCGCCCCAAAGTGGGGGGATCAGATGGCCGGGGGGCTGGCCACGAAGGACACCGGGAACCGTAGCCCCGCGTCCCGGCTGCAGCGGTGGTGGTGCTGGGAAGAAGGAGGGGAAGGAGAGGGAAGTGGGGGCCGGGCGGGTATGTTGCCCACACACACAGGCACATGCCAGGCTGGGCCACCCTCCTGGGAATGCCTCCCCAAATGCACTATGAGTGAGTCCATCCAGCAGTCCCCTGACCAAAGACACAGAGAAGAGAAAGCTCGTCATTGCCCCAGGGCTGGATGCCGGGGTGCCGTCCCAACCAGCGAGCGCGGGGCACGGGGGTGGGGGTGTGTGGAGACGTGGGTCCCCTTCCCCTCCCGGCAGGGCTGTGAGTGTCCTGCACATATCAGCTTGTGCACTCGGACGGAGAGCCCACAACCTGGGTGCCACTCGGGACACAGGCAGGTGGGGGCCCAGGCGGTCGTCTGTCCCCTCAGCCAGGCGCCCCCAGGTCAGCGGTGGAGCAGAGCGTCCCCCGAGCATCTGCGTGCGGCCGCTGGCTCTCCTCTCCCGGGCACCGGCAGGGCCCCCGTTTCAGGCAGCACTGTGTCCACCCCCTCCCCGGCTTGACCTTCCACGAAGGCAGGTGGCCCCCCCCCCCCCGAGGAGGGCCACGCGGGGCCCCTGCCCGTGAAGAGCCCGGCTGACCTGCAGTCGGTGCTTGAAGAGCAGCTCGTCCAGCGCCTTCTGCGTCTCCCACACCTCCCGCTCTGCCCGCTGCCGGCCCAGCTGCGGGGCCGCCGAGCCCCGGGATGGCTGGGGGGCCTCAGGCTGCTGCCCCCGTGCTCCCCAAAAGCCCTGAGCCCGTGAGGGCATCATGGTTCCCAGAGCCATCTCTGGGAATGGGATACTTCTCGGAGGGGTGGCCTCGAAAGCCCCCACTCGTGGCCCCCCCCAGCCCGCAGCTTGCCCCCCTCCCCGTCTCTTCCTGGGAGACCCTCGGCCTGGGCTGCCTGTCCCCCACTGCACGCTCCCCTCCTTTCTGCCCGGCCTCCCCCTGCGGGTCGAGCTGTCTCTCACTTCCTACAGCCCTGCTTTGGAGCCTCTCTGCTCAGCCTCGGGGGGCGGGGCTGTTCCCAGGGCCCCCCAAGGAGGCCTAAAGGGGACACAGCTGCCGTCAGCCTCACAGAACGGGGCGGGACACACCTGCAGTGACTTGAGAAAGCCCAGGGACTTCTGGGGGATGCTGGCAGGGTGCTCGGAACGCCGACCTGTGGAAGCCGCAGAGAAGGGGCAGGTGAGCGGCTGCCAGGGAGAGTCCCAGCGCGACAGCCCCTTCCCGAGCGTCCAGGGCAGCGAGGGCCGGGGCAGACGGCCGCGGCCCCAGGCGGACGGCTCTGCCTGACCCTCAGCCACCGCCCGCGGGGAGCCGCGCCTGAGGCTGCAGAGACAGCGAGCGGGAGCCGCGAGCGGGAGCCGTGAACCCCGGCTTCGCCAGCAGGCAGGCCTGGGCTGGCCCTGCGTTCGCCGGTGCCCTAGAACAAATCACTAGCCCTTCAGAGCCTCGGTGGGAAAAGCAGAGGTTCCCACCTCCCTGGTGGTGAGGTGACCCGACACAGGCTGGCTGGGTGGCCGCGGTTACTACCGAAATCATGACCACAACCGGCCGGGCGCCTGTTAACACAGGGGCATGGGGCCCGGCGCGGAGAGAAGGGGCACGAAAACCGCAGCCTCCGCGCCTGGATCCGGAAGGCCCCAAGGGCGCCTCTTTCCCTTTGGTCACCCCAAGGGCCACTCGGGCTCTGCACGTGATAGGTGCTCCTGGACCCCCTGAGGCTGCCTCTAGGGGCGATTCCATGGTCGGAGGGGCGGCCGGCGGGCTCCCTCCATGGCCTGCCTCCCGTCTTCTGGGCCTGGTGCTGGTGGAACGGGGCAGAGGAAGGCGTCCGGTCTGTGGGTGGCTCTGGGGTGAGCCCCTCCGTCGTCGCTGGCCAGGGTGCAGGAAGAATACCGACCCCCAGCCTGCGCTCGCCTCCCAGATCCGAGCACTCAGCTTTTCCACGGCTGGAGCGGAGCGACTGACCCAGCCCCTGGGCATTGCCACGGCAGTGAGAAAAACTCTGAGGCTCCGGGGCCAGGCGGAGCAGCTAGGTGTGACCTGTGCTGAGCACAGGCCTGCCCTCCCCTCCCCCTGCCAGCCGGGAAATGAAGACGCATCCGGGAGACCCATTTGAAGTGTCTCTTCTGAGCCAAAGTTCCCTCGAGAAGGAAAAATCCTCTTTTGCTTTTGTTTTGTGGCCACTGAGAGAAGCCGAAGCTGGAGAAGATGCCCGGGACCCCCGAGGCGCCGCCAGCCTGAGTGCGCACCCACTTTCCTGCGGGCACGCGCGAGGCTTGAAGGCTCGGGGAGGGGTGTTCCTTGTCACCCCCGGCCACACCGCGCCAGCACCCTAGATGGTCGCCAGGGAGACACGGGCTGCGAGCCCCTGAGCTCTGAGCGGTGGCCTGGGGGAAAGCAAGCCGTCCCCGAAATGGGCATGTGACGGTGATTATAGTGGTGAGCATGTTTGCAGTGAGGGATCGGGGAGTCATCACCTGAAGCCAGAAGGAGGCTGATAGGACCCGCCGCGCGGGGTGGGAGAGCCACTGAGCCTGAGCTGGGTTCCCTGCGGGGCCACGGCCGCAGCCGCCGGCTGCCACACATGTCGCTGTCATTGTAACTTAAATGAAAGGGACGTCAACGTCACATTCCACTCCTCAGTCCCACTGGCCCCATTTCACTGGCCAGACGGTCATTTATGGCTAATGGCTGCCCTACTGGATAAGCCAGAATGTTGAATGCTTCCCTCTACCCAGAAGCTTCCACCGGACAACGTGGTGCTGGATGGCGGAGTCTCGAAAGGCAGTTGTGCGGGCCAGCGCTGGTCCAGCGGGATAAGCTGGGTTCGAATCCCCGCTCCGCCATGGGTCTGGCTCGAGGCCATGGTGCCTCTTTGAGCATCAGACTTCTGCATAAGCAGGGGCTCAGGGACGGGCCTGATCCCAGGCACAGTGAGGCCAGCGAGACCCATGTGTGGCACACGGTGCCCGGTCTGGGGTGCTCAGGGCGCTCAGTTCACTCCTGCTCTTGGCAAACATTCCCCAGGCACATGCGCGTGGCGGCCACTGGCTGGAACAGCAGTGAGTTCTCGCGGCCTGCAGAGCAAGTGGGACCCCGCTATCGGGGAGGCTTCCTGGAGGAGGTGTCTGGCTGGAGCCGTGCTCACTGCTTGGCTTCGGGCTACTGGAGATCCTGCTCTCCGCCACACCAGGCAGGAGCAACTCAGGTTTCCAGTGACTCGGGGGCCGCCCGCAGTCCCAGGATAAAGAGATCCTGCCAGAGAATTTCAGTCCGCACACGGAGAGACAGCCCCTGCCCTACAGAGCGTGTCAGGAGGGACGCAGGAGGGACCGAGAGAGCCGGGGCGAGCCTCCCCCGCACGCCGTCCGGCTCCCCGCCTCCCGGAGAGGCAGCCTGAAGGCGGAGCCAGGGAGAGGAGCAGGTTTTCCTGCAAGGCCCGGCAGCTAGCCTGCTGCGGTTCAGCCTGTGGAAGCTGCCGGAGCCCCAGGCCAACAGCTCCTCCCCAACCAGACCTCAGAGGCTCTGGAGGGGACACTTGTGGAGGTGGGCACGGAGCAGGGGACTGAGACAGTTTTCAAGGTGACAGCTCTATCCTGTCTTTCTCTGGAAGCGGTGTGTGGGAGGCCTGGGGACACAGCCGGCTGGCATAGGGAGCCCTTTAACTAGGCCCAGCCCCTTGCCGGGCTGAGAGGTGCCTGCAGAGGGAGCAGCTCTGCAGGGAGGTCCATCCTCGCCCCGGTGTCCAGGCTGCCCTGTCGGCCCCATGAGGGAGTCGCTGAGGAAGCTCACACTGGGTGCTGTGGGTCCACAGCACAAGTATTTTGTCCTTCCAACCAGTGACTGGTGGTTTTCCCTTCGGGATTAGAGAGGGTCCCCTTCTCCGCCCCTAGCTGTGCTCTCACGCCCCTCCCCCCAAGGCCCCCTGCCTCACCCCCCAGATGCAGACCATCTCCTGGCACCCACACCCTGGGCAGACATGGCTCGGGGAGCGAGTGTGTGGGGCGCACATGTGCCTTGTGTCCCAGGAGGGGTCATGCCCCACAGCTGCCCAACAGCAGTGAAAGTAGAGAGCCCGCAGTGGCTGTCCTCAAGGTCAAGTGCTTTCCGCTCAACTCCGAGTCCCCACATCACCCCATCTGATGGTCAACAGGGGTAGGGGGCACCTGAGCTCTCCCGGCTTCCCAGAGCCTATAGCTGTGCCCAGATCCCGGCAGTGGGTCCACTGAGTCTCCGGGCACCCAAGACCCTGGGTGTGGAGGAGATGGGGGGCCTCCCCACTGTCCCCCAAGGCCACCGAAGCAGCTGCCTCCAGGTCCACACCCCAGCCTCACTGCAGAGACTGTGGTGCTTGCGCCCGGCCGAGCCTTTCAAGGGGACTCTGGGACTGTGGCCTCCGTAGCGGATGTCCCTCCCAGAGCAAGGAGCCACCCTGTGGGGACACTGAATGGGGCTGAGGGGTAAGGAGAGGGCTGCCCCTGTCGGAGGGAAAGCGAGAGCCTGACCCTTTGTAGGACCTGGCCAGGAGGCAGATGGCCCCATGCGACGGGGGATCACCCATGACTCTCACAGCAGCCAGCCGCCTCCCCCCCCCCGTTCAGCCAGCCTTCCAGAAGGACAGCAAGGGGTAGACAGTGCTGGCACCTGTGTCCAAGCCCTGGTCACAGCTCGTCCCTGGGCCGCTTGCTGCCCCCTCTGGGCTGCATTTTCTGGGGCTGGAAACACGGTGGAAATCTCTACCAGCTTCCTGGAAGATTCTCCTTGTCACTTATCTCTCAGAACCTGACATGTGGTGTGCCGTCACCAAGCATCTCCTGATGCCTGCCCCGCACTAAAACGCAGGTGCTTCAAGGGCAGGGCCTGATCCCGGGTCAGCACCGGGCACAGCGGGGTCAAGGGCATGGCTGATCCCGGGTCAGCACCGGGCACAGCGGGTCAAGGGCAGGGCTGATCCCGGGTCAGCACCGGGCACAGCGGGTCAAGGGCAGGGCTGATCCCGGGTCAGCACCGGGCACAGCGGGTCAAGGGCACGGCTGATCCCGGGTCAGCACTGGGCACAGCGGGGCCTCAGTGGGGACAAGTTGGAAGAGCAGAGACCAGAATGAACAAATGAATTCAGGGGCAGGCAAGGCTCTTGGTGCCTCGGGAGGCTAGGAGAGGCAGGGCCGGGGGTCAGGCTCCCCGCAGCCCCCAGCACAGGCTGGAGAGTCTCCCAGAGCAAGAAGCAAGGAGGTGGGAGCGGGCTGGCCATGGGATGGGGGGAGGGCACAGACCCCTCCTCCCTCAGAGGGCCCAGGCCATGAGCCCAGCGGGCCCCCTTCCACACACCTCCCCAGCCGCTCAGTCCCGGTTCCCAGCCGCTGCGCCAGGACCCCGCGGCTCATCCCTGAGCACCCGGCACGCCCCCACAGCCCGCCCACGCCCCTCAGCGCCGGCCCTCGGCCGGGCCAGGCACCAGGCAGGGCCCTGCCCGGCGCGCACCTGCTCTCTCGGTCACGACAGAGGCGTGGCAGGAGCACAGAGCAAGCAGCTGGGTCCCGAAAGCCTCCAAAAAACTTTAATACTGTTGCGTGGATGCTCTCCACATAGAAAAGGATCTCTCTACACCCGCAGGGCCTCACCGGAGCCTCGGGCAGTGGAGGGGGTCCCCAGCGGAACCCCCCGGCCACCCGACCAGCCAGCCCAGGGCCTGTCTGCGGGCTCGCCCTTACCGCAGCTTCGCAAGGTCCAGGGCGTGACCGAGCGGGCCCCTCTGGCCGGCGGCATCTCCTCCAGCTTCAGGGAGCCACAGGTGGCGTCTAGCATGGCTGTCGCCCCGGGTGAGCTAGGGACACGCAAACACACGTGTGAGCAGGGTGCGGCAGGGAACAGTCCATGAGGTCTGAGGCCGCTGGGGTCTGGGGGGCAGGGACCCGGGTTCTTTTGGCCTGAACGAAGCGGCTCTCAGACTCACAGTGACCAGGGCCGAAGCCCAGGGCCAGAGGCCTAAGGGGGAGAGGGGGATGGGCCCGTGAGCAGAGCGCCAGGATGGCGGCAGCGAGCAGGCGGCACCCACAGATCCACGCCGGCAGCGTCCCCCAGCTCAGAGGGCGTCAGACCCAGGCCCGGGGGACCAGCAGCCCTCGGAGCACGGAGGCCGAGGCTCAGCTGCTACCATCACTGCTACCATCACTGGACGCTGCGCCCGGGACCAGAGTGCCCTTTGCCCGGAAGCCTGTGCCTGCTCTGGGTCTGCCCCACGCCGGGCCCTAGGGGGGAGGCGGCCATCTGGGAACGGGGGACACGGGGCCTGCTCATGTCTGTCAGTCCCTCCCTCTGTCATCTGCTAAGGAGCTCTGTCGCCAGGCCCGGAGCGGAGCAGGGCAGGCATGCCAACCCTCATCACTACCTGCTCGTGGCCCGAAATGCTGCCCCGTCCCAGGGAGGGGCCCAAGCCGGCCAGGGGACTGAGGCAAGGGTCACACAGGCCAACTGGCTGGGAAACCTGCCTGCCCTTCGGGTGAGCTAACCCCTTACCCACAGGCTGGCCGGCACTAGCATAGGGCGGAAGGTGGGGCATCCCCCGAGCCCAGGAGACGGGGAGCCTGTGTCGGCGGGGGGGGCTCAGCTCTGCCTCACTTCACATCTCTTGTCAGGGTGTGGCCGTCTGTGCCGGCACGGGGACTCAGGACCCCTGGAGTGACTAAGGACATACTGCAGGCCGGGGAGACGGGGGGGGGCGGGGGGGCTCCAGCAGCCACGTGTTTGTTGAGCACCTGCTGCTGGACCGCCCAGCCCCCACCTCTGCAGCCCCTGGCCCTGCAGGGGAGATGGTGTGGCAGAGGGTCCCAGAAAGAGGAAGCAGTCCTGGGGGGAGTCGGCAATGGACGGGCCCAGGGGCTGAATCCAGGAAGACCCGTGGGACATGGCAGGGGGTGCTGCAGGGTGCCTGCCCATAAGGGGACAAGAGGGACCGTCACTGCAGGGGCCTCTCATCCTGCTCCCTCCTACCCCCTCCTGAACAGGACGCCGGCCCCACTGAGTGGCTCTCCTCAAAGGCTAAGTTCAAGGCCATTGCCACCAGTGTCCCCCTCAACTGTCTGGGCCAAGGGTCAGCAAAGGCTCCTCATAAAGGGAAGAACAGGAGACATTCAGGCTTTGCAGGCCACACAGACCCTGCCTCGTGGACACAACGCTGCCATTTGGCCATGACAGCAGCCGCACTCACTCTGTAAAGCACGAGCGGGGCTGTGTGCCAATAAAGCTTTATTTAGCAACACGGGCAGCGGGCCACGGGCTGTGGCTTGCTGGCCTCTGGCCTAGACTTTCCAGGGCAGTGGTCCGCGGACCCCAGTGTAGCGCGTCCCCAGCAGGACAGGCCCCTGGGCCCGGCCTAGGGTACTGGGTTCGGGAGGCGGGGGGCGGGCCAGGACTCTGCATTTCTAACGAGTCCTCTGGGATCAGCATGAGAACCGCTTGACTAGGGAATGGGAGTAGTCGAAGAACCCTGGGCTCCTGTGTCCAGCCCTGAGTCTGGCTTTTGGCTTGTCCTCCCATGAGCCATGTGATTTTGGCAAAGTCACCCGTCTGGGCCTCAGATTTCCGGTCTGTAAAATGGGAGTGGGAATACATCTCACGGTGTCCTGAAAGTACTGCCTGAGGTGCAGGGAAGCCTGTGGGTAGCGGCAGGCACCCCACCACCCTTCCTTCCAGAGCTGGGGTGGACGGGCCCTTGGAGGGCAGGAGCGGGTGCTGGTGATGGGCTGGGGCCCCAGCCGGCACTGAACCCCACGGTCCCTGCAGGGAGAGGACGGTGGCGGGGGGGGGGGGGGGGGGGTGGTCCCACCCGGACTCAGAAACTCAAAAGCTGGCCTGAGAGGCAGCAGATGGGCCAGGCCCTGGGTCTGGAGAACTTGGGGGCCACAAGCTGGACGGAGCTTTGACCTTCCTCCTCTGACTCCACCACAGAGAAGCGAGCAGGGTGGCAAGGGCTGCCCGGCAGCTTTTCTGGACACACTGAGGGGCCAGCAAGCCCCTGGGCCCTGATCCCACAGCAGGGTGGCTGGGTCGTCTAGGGCACGACTCAGCACTGCCTGGTCTGGGAGGGAGTGGGGGGGGCGGGGAGGGGGCGGGTATGGGAAGACACATCGCCCAGGTGTGGGGGTGCCCTGGGTGGGAATGCCCTGCAGTCACGTGAGCTGCTGGGTGCAGGGCCCCTGTGGCCATCCAGCAGTGGGACACGCAGATGTGGGGTGTCCCTGGGAGCCCGGGGGCACCCATGATTAATGTCTGAGAATTCTCTCATCCCCGCCTCTCCTCCAGCTCGGGGGATGGGGGGGGGGAGTATGGCTGGCCAAGAACCAGAAGCCCAGCCCAATGCTGCCCCCTACTGGCAGTAATCATTCAGGTCCACCAATTGGACGGAAGCTGGGCGGTGGGCGGGGGTGGAGGGAGGCCCCCGCACAAGACAGTACAAGGGTCTGTGGCCAGGTGCTCCCGAGAACACAGACACGGGACACAGGAACTGGGCGGGGGGACACTCGACCAGCCGCCAATCACACGGGAAGGTGCGGCTGACGGTGTCTGCTAGGCCGGGAGCCAGTGAAGAGGTGTGTGGGGAGGGGGTGCATCCCGGGGGCCGCCCACCCATCAGCGGGGGCCTTGGGTCAGGGGCCCACCGCCCACAGCCCAGCCAGAGAGGAGTCTCTGGGCTCGTTCCCCCTGCCCTGGCCAGCACCGGAGCCAGCAGGCCCCGACCCAGGCCGGGGGGCTTCTCACGGTGGGGTCAGGACTGCATCACCCCCCCCCCCCGCCAACCCAGCTGCACCCAGACTGCTGTGCACCCCTGTGCACGGGCTGTGCGTGGCCAGCGGCTCACCCGGGGCGCGTGGAGGGCGCAAGCTCACCTCCTGATGAAGGGGCGGAGGGCCTGGAAGGCATCCATGTTTCTTGCTAGCCTGTTATCCAGCTCCAAACATTCGTCTTCCGTGAAAGCTTTGGAGAGATGGACACCAGGCTCACTCCCCGGAATGGGCAGGAGGGGAGAAACTGCCGGGGGGGGGGGGCAAGGGAGAGACACCCCCAGCCCCACGTCAGGAGTTCTGGCGGGCTGTGTCTGCTTTCTTGCCCGTCTCTGGCGCAGGGTAGGGAGGTGGTGGGCACAAAAGCCCCAGGGCCAGGCCTCACCCCTCCACAGCTGGGGCTGCAGCTGACGGAAGATTGGCCTGTGGCCGGGCTCAGCCAGGACCGCCCCCTACATCCTTTCAAGTGGCCCGCACACCCGCTGTGGCATTGTCATCGGTGTGTCCCCTGCGGGGAGGGCGGGGTCCCCTGGGCGCTGCTGGGGCTGCGGTCACCTGGTCACCTACCGTGAGGCTGGCTGTCGCGGAGGGCCCCCGGGCTCACGCTCTGACGCCGCTCCCAGTCCGGGCTCCACGACAGCGTCTTGCTGTCTGAGAAGCAGGGGGGTGGGACGAGGGGCCAGGCCTGCGTGTCTGCCCGGTCCCGGGCTGTCCCTCTGCCCCTGCTGGGCACCAACGTTCCGGAGCAGACGGGGGCTGGGGGCGAGGGGGCAGCAGCCATGCTGCTGGGCTGTGAGGGTGAGGGGCCGGCCACCGGGTCCCCGAGGGCATCCAGTGCCTCCGACTTGTACAGCTTGGCCGTCAGGATGTCGATCCGTTGCTTCAGGATGTTGGCCATGGTCTCCAGAGCCTGTAGCCGGGCCTGCTTGTAGCGGAAGTGCAGGGGCCCCGACATGCCCAGGTGCTCGCTCTCCTCGGGGTCCAGGTAGATGCACACCCCTGGGCGCGGGTGCTGGGTGGCGAGGTCCTGGAGCTTCAGGGGGCCCAGGGAGGAGTGGGCCGACATCAGCATGGGGGCGCCGTCCCGGGGGCCGCCTGTCTCCAGGCTCTCAGTGCGGTTCAGGGCTCTGTTCAAACACAGGCAGAAGCTGCAGGGAGAGAGGGTGGAGGGGTCAGGACTGGTGCCTGCAGCCTGGGCGGTGAGTTCGAGGCGTGTAACCAGGGATGAGCATCTGTGACAAGGGCGTCCATTCACGGTGACTGTTTATGGCTTGGCGGGATGGCTCCGGGGCGTCTATACAGCCATGGACCACACCCGGCCGTGACGGAGACCCAGCAGCCAGTCTGGGGTTTAACACCAGAGCCGAGGCACCAAAATTAAAAATAGATCAAAGTCCTTCAAAACATACGACTCGTGTGCATCAAAGGGCACAATCATGAGTGAGAAGCTGACCTGCAGAACGGGACAAAGTTATTAAAATCCACATGTCCTGTGAGGGTCAGAACCCAGAACGTATAAGGGACACCTGCCACTCAGCATCTACAACCCACAGAGGACCTGAGTGGACATTTCTCCGAAGGAGACGCACAGAGGCAATAAGCACACGACAAAGAAGCGGGACATCGCTGGTTGTCAGGGAGACGCAAATCAAGATCACAGCAAGACACACATTCACAGCGGTCAGATGCCTGCTTCTTAACAGTAAAAGGGGCGTCTGGGGGGTTCAGTCCGGTGAACGTCCTACTCTTGATTTCGGCTCAGGTCATGATCCCAGGGTCGTGGGGTCGAGCCCCATGTCGGGCTCTGTGCTGAGCGCGGAGCCTGCATGGGATTCCCCCTCTCCCCCTCTGTCTGCCCCTCCCTCCCACTCGCTCCCTCTCTCTCTCTCAAAAAAAAAATAAATAAAAATAAATGGAAAGATATTAAAAATAGCCAGTGTCGACAGGATGTGAAGAAACAGGAAGCATTCCGTGAGAAGGCAATCCCACCCCTGCTGCCACGTGGGTGAGCCCCGAGGACAACGGGCGCCATGAGGTGAGCCCGGTGCAGGGGACCGATCCTGAAGGATCTACTCCCAGGAGGCCCCAGATGGGTCGGATCCACAGGCACGGAGAGCGGGGCCGCGTGTAACGTGTGTCCTGTCTGGGAAGCTGGACAGGTTCTGGGGGCGGACGCAGGGCGGCTGCACGACATTGTGAATGCGCTTGAAGACGGTAAATCTGTGTTATGTGTATTTCCCCAGATTGTCTTTAAAACATGGATGGAGGGGCGCCTGGGGGGCTCAGTCGGTTGGGCGTCCAACTTCAGCTCAGGTTATGATCTCACGGTTCGTGGGTTCGAGCCCCGCGTCGGGCTCTGTGCTGACAGCTGAAATCGCAGAGCCTGGAGACTGCCTCCGATTCTGTGTCTCCCTCTCTCTCTGACCCTCCCCTGCTCACACTGTCTCTCTCTCTCTCTCAGAAATAAATAAAACAATAAAAAATTTTTTTTAAACATGGACGGGAAAAAGAACACAAGATGAAGAACCCACACTCCCTGTCCAGGGGATGGACCCGCGGGCATCACGTCAAGGTGGCCAGGAGCCCTCTGCCGGCCTTTCCACTGAGGGAGGGGTCCGCCCTGGGCAGTGGCCGGCTTCTCCTTCAGGGTGAGGCTCCGAGAGTGAACGCTCACTCAGCTGCGCACCTGGGACCCGAATCCTCGTCACAATGTGCCCAGACGTGACGTGCTCCAAGCTAAGTGGGGGATGGTCTCCTGACCCCCAGCTTTAAGATGCCACCCCGGGGAGGGGCTTTCTAGACCCCTGCTCAGCTCCATTAAAATACACAAGAGGGAAAAACAAGAGGGAAAAACCAGAAAAGCAGTTGGCAGGACACAGAGAAACTGGGACCCTCCTCTGTCGCTGGTGGGGACACAAAGTGAGGCAGCCGGCGTGGGACACCATCTGGCAGTTCCCTGGAAACTTAAACAGAGTTTTCACATGAAGTTGCCTGGCAATTTCACTCCCAGGTGCGTAACGAGGGACACGAAATAGTAGTTCAATGAATTCATTCGCAGCAGCACGAATCACAGCAGCCAGGGGAGACACAGCCCAAACGTCCACCAACTGACCACTGGATGAGCCACTGTGCCCGTCAGGCCGCCGAACAGGCTTTGGCCGTGACGACAGGGGTGAGCCCAGAAAACATGCTCATAGAGAAGCCAGATGCGAGCAGCCCCGCGCCGCCAGACTTCGCTAACATGGGCCTTGTGGGGGGAGGCCGACAGGGGGAGCTGGGGCTGCAGCGAGGAACCGGAGCGATGCTGAGGGGTGCGGGGGCTCCGTTTCGGGGTGAGGCAATGCTCTGTGTGCAGAGAGAGGACGTGGTCACGCAGCACTGGGGACGTGCTCCATGTCCCCGCGTCGGGCGCTCTAAATGGCTCCCTTAATGTGGTGCGGAATCCGGGGCAGCCCTGACCGCCAGGGGAAGCCGCCGCCGCCCGGGGGAGCCCCACCCGGGAACTGCAGCCCCTGCCTGCCTACCCACCTGCCCGGGGCTTCCTGGTCCCCCAGCACCACGCCGGAGGTCACCTTGCTCCACTCCAGCACAGGCGACCTCAGGCTCCCGGGGGCTTCCAGGCCCTAAAGCAGAGGAGAACAGAGTCAGAGCTCGCCCCGGCCAGAAGCCCCTGAGATCCTGTCTCAGTCCCAGAACTAGCCCTGACCTCCACAGCGTCTCAGGCTGCACCCCTTGGGGGTCCCCTCTTTAGGGGCCGGGACAGAGGCAGTGGGGCCCCTCCAGAGCCCCACCATTCCCAGGGAGGCAGGCACTTGGGGACGCCGGACGCTCGGCGCTGAGCTGGCCAGCTCCACCTCCTCACCGGCGCCAGGCGAGTACCTTGGACTGTGCACAATGCGGGAAAAAGGTCACGATGCCGGGGGTCTTGTGGGAGACCACAGGGACGGCTTTGCCGAGGATGGCTTCCCTCTGCTTCTTGTACACATCCTGCAGCCTCTGGTTTCGCAGCTCGAGCGCCCGCACGGCCGAGGCCTTCTCTTCCAGGGCCTGTCGCCTCCGGGCCAGCGTCTTCTGGCGCATGAACTCCCGAAGGGACTCGGAGCTGTGGGGGTGACCCAGGACCCCCCGGGGCTTCGGGCAGGGTGGCGGCACCCTCACCTCGTTCTCCTTCCCGGGGGCGATCCCGGGGGCCCCTCGGGCCGGCCTCAGCCAGCCGTGCTTCAGCTCCGAGGGGGGCAGGAGGGAGCCCGTGCCCTTGCACGGGGTGCCCGTGCTGCGCGTGAAGGAGGCGCTCCGGGGCCGCGGGGCCGACGGGCTCCATGGTCTTCGGGCAGGGCTCTCCCAGTCTTCATGAGTGGCCCAGGCTCCCTGGGGCTGGGAGGCCTGCCCGGCCGAGGCGCTCCAGGGCCGCTGGGGGAAGGAGGTCAGCCTTTCAGGGGGGCTCCCCGGCCTCTGCAAGGAGGGGTTCTGTCCTTGGGCCGCCCAGGTCATCTGGGGATAGGACTCCCACCCAGCCAAGGCGCTCCAGCGACGCCTCGTGGGGAAGCTGCCAGGCCTCTCTGAGGAGGCGCATTTCCGCTCCGCCCCAGCCTGGGGACTCTCCGAGAAGGAGCTCGGAACGCGGCGGGTGCTGCAGGGGCCTTGCTGCTTCCTCTTCCCTGCCAGGTCCTGCAGCCCCAGCTTTGAGCGCCCCAGCTCTGGCCCTCCCCTGGGGTGGTGGCTCCGGGCCAGCTCCAGCCCAGCCTGGATTTGCCGGCGGAGGTCTCTAAGGACGGCCAAGGCGTGCTGGATGGTCACGGGCTGCTCGCAGGAAGATAGGTTGGCCGTGTCGGCAGACGCCCGCAGGCCACCGCGGGCAGAGGCTGGACCGGGCATCCGGGGGCGCGCAGGGGGGCTCTCAGCGGCCCCAGCTCTCCTGCTGTCTCCTGCAGACACAGGCGGTCACGGGTGTCAGGAGCTGGAGGAGCCGGGGTGGGGGCGGGGAGCACCGCCAGCCCCTCCACGCCCCCCCCCACCCGACGGCAGAGGTGCCCTCGGGCCCGCTCCCAGCCCCTCCTGGCCCCTGCACCCAGCATGGGTTTGCAGAAGCCCTCCAGGCACGTATGCCACATGCTGGTGACTCGAGGCTGTGCCCGGGCACTTGGCGCAGAGCTGCCCACTCCAGATGTGGTGAACACAGCGTGATGGGGCGGGGGAACCCTGGGCTCCCATCCTGCCTTCCCTCAGTCGGGAACGCCTCGCCTCCTGGGAGCCTGACCGGTGTCTCTTGGGGACAGAAATCCTTTTCTTAGGCTTTTCACATGTAATGGTTTCCCCCAAGTCCTGTCTGCTGGCAGGTTTGGAGGGCGTGTGACAGGCTGCGGGGGAGAGGCTGCTCCCGCATGGGCTGTCCCTCCTTCGCCCTCCGCGCCCACCGCCCAGACGCTACGGCACAGCAGGGAGGAGCCAGAGGCCGAGGCCCCGGGTACCTAATTCCGTGGCGGCGGCGGCGGCGGCGGAGGCCAGGTCTCTCGAGGGAGCCTCGCTCTGGAGCCTGGGGAGGGCCGGAGGGGGCCCAAGCAGGGCCCTCGCCAGGGCTGGTCCTTTCCTCCAGGCACAAACGCCAACCAACTCAGAATCTTAAACAGAGAAAATGCACACACAGCCGAGTGGTCGGGGCTCAGAACACCGGCCCAGACGGGGAGCTTACAGGCTCCCAGCAGCCCCGATTCACACGCTCCAGAGGAGCTGGGGTGAGCCTCGGTCACCAGGCAGCAAGAGGCAGGACTGAGTCCCAGGATGACTTTGGAAGGTGACCTGACTTCTCCGACCCTCAGAAAATGGGGCGATGAAGCTTGCTCCCCGCGGCTTTGCCTGTATGGTGAGCGACACAGGCCCAGGTGCACGGACGTGCTCAGTAAACACGGGCCCATAGTCACGAGACAGGGATAATGAAGGGCCACCAGCACAGGCAGGGCCCGTGGGGGGCCATCCGCACTGGGCCGCGTCGAATCGGTTGCTTTGACGCTGGTGTGGCTGGGCAGCAAAGCGGGTGGCCCCCACGAAGATGCCCAGGCCAGCACAAGAGGTCCCGAAGTGGACGGACAAACACCCGTCACATCCCAAATGCAAATGAGGGTTTGTTAACAAATGTCATCACCTGAGAAACATCACTTATCAAAGTTCTTCATAAGCCCAGGTTACACTCACCAAATCCCAATACCAGCCCCACCATCACTACAAACCCATCCACAAGGGCGCTGGCGCAGGCCGGGTTTTGCCAGGCAAGAGTGCCTTAGAGCGGAGACCAGCTGGAGAGGTGACCCCCAGGGCCAGGCAACCAACGGGGTCAGGACCCTCCCCAGCACTTCGGGATCCCTCTCCCGAGGCCCAAACCCAGAGAGAGCCAGAAGCCTGAAGCGGCTGCTGCAGGAAGGGGAAGGGGCCACGCCCCCCAGGCCACGCCCCCCCAGGCCACGCCCCGAAGCCGAGGCCTCCACCCTCCGCGGGACATGCCCCAAGGCTGCACCACCGCGAGAGCTTGCCCTCTGTAAGCCACGCCCCTCCAGGGCTTAACCCGAGGCCACGCCCCCCGCAAGCCACACCCCTCCAGGAAGCGCCCCCTGAGGCCACACCCCCCAGGCCAGAGCCCTGGGACCCCAGGGTTAAAGCGAGGTCTCAGGAGTGTCAGACCCGGGTTTCAGTGCGGCCCTGCTGATTACTAGCCGTGGGCTTCGGGGGAGTGACCCTCCCCCGTCTCCCCACAGGACGGCCGGCGTGAAAACAGGGTGCGCCGGGCAGGTCAGGGCTCTGCTCTGAGACCACAGCCGGGGCTGAGGCCGCACTGCCTGCTGGCCGCGCCCGGGGGCTGGAGGGTGCACGGGCATCCCGGCGCAGGGACCCCCGCCCTGGACGAGGGGGCTGCCCGCTGCCGGGACCCTCCCCACAGGCCCCCTCCATCACTGGCCGCTCATCCCCATCAGCCCGCCAGAGGGGTCCGGGTCAATAAATGGGTCCTGATGGGCACATTTTTTTCTTCCGCTGAGCAGTTTAATGGCAATTAATTTTTTTACGAGAGGGTTTTTAATCTGTGGAAATGGATGGAGTCCCCAAGTGCCCTGTCAGAGTTCCACGGCCGACTTAATCTATGATAAAAAATGCAAAGTGAGGTGGTATAATCTGAAATTAAATATTGGGCTTCATTTTCCTCCAGCCGGAATGGATGAATATTTTATAACTATTGTGATTTAATTTTTTGTTAACTACAGCAAATTTCTAATTCATCCAATTCCCAAGTCCTGCGGCTCTGACCTTTGAACCCAAGCTCATCTCTCCTTAGCTCAGCTGTGACTTGGTCACTGACAGAAACTAATGGTCAGCTCCGTCAGGGTGACACGGTGGTTACGATGATGGATGCAGCCGGTGGCACGCCCTTTGACCCAGTGTCAGACAGAAAGCAGGTCATTTTTCAAGCGAGCCATTAAAATAAAACAAACCAAAAAGCTGAGGGGTGGGGGGGGAGACAATGATGCAGAAAATTGTTGTATTTTGTGCCTTTTCAGTGGGCCTTCCGGAACCTTCTCCTTGGCTCCCAGCATCCCTCACTGTCAGGCTCCAGTGGAGGTTTACCCTGCCTTCCCGTCGCCTCTTACCCTGCTGAATAGATGTGTCTGCCCCCGCGGCCGCCCCCGCCTCCCTCAAGGGCCCCTGAAGCCAGCGGCGAAGGAGGGACACGTCCATCCACCCAGGCCGGCGGCAACCCGTGCTGTCCCAGAGTGGAGGTGGCGGTGTGATGGCGTGGAGCAGAAAGACAGGCAGAGCACCTGCCACTGGGCAGGCTGTTGAGCCTCTCTGAGCCTCAGTGTCCCCATCTACGGAATGGGAGCAAGCCTGCCTACCCCAGAGGAGTGCTGTGAGGGTCCTGGGCTGATGTCCAGAGAGCAGGAGGCACCCACAGAGCCGGTGCTGAGTGCCACCACTCTACGGTGACTGCCGGGAACAGTTAAGCCCCAGAGGAATACCACCTCCCTCGTTCCACCCGCACCAAACTGGCAGGGCCACAAACCGGCCCAGCCAGGGCAGCTGGGTCCCTGCTGGACTCAACCCCCCAAACCCCCTCCTCCCCGCTCCGCCCAGGCCCCAGGGTGCGGCCTCAGGCCTGCCACCATCACCAGCTCTCCCTGTCTCTCCTGGGGTGTGATCGGCGACGCGCACCCCTGTGTGACGGCCCCACGTCCCCAGAGGGCTGGGATACAGTGACAGTACCCAAGGCCTTTCCTATCACCGGGTGCCCTGGGGGGAAGGGTGCTCCCGGCTTGCTGCCTGGATTCTAGGTCCCAAGCCAGGCACATAGGGCGACCCCTCCCTTCACCAGCGCCCCTGCCCCCACCACGAGCGATGCCGGGGAGAACAGACTATGAAAAGGCACGTTACACCGCGGAGAGTGGCTCCGTGTCCGTACAGGCCGTCTCCGTCTAGGGGAGCTGCAAGGACAGCCTACCGCACGGGGGGTGTGGACTCGCACTTCCTCACGGGGATGACCCTGCGCAGGCGGGGACCACGCAGCCCCCCGGTGACGGCCGGGGTCTACAGTCCCCCCGAGGTGCGGACGCCAACCCTAGCTCTCCTCCATGCGGGGCAGACCCCCCACTCTAGCTCGGCCCCTGCCCGTCCCAGGTCCCTGTGCACACAGCGCCCCAGGCCCCCGGGGCGGCCAGCCGTCTGCAGCACCAGAACGGGAAGCCGTTTCCCACCTAGTGAGCTGGGGTCACACCCCGTTACCCCAGGCCTTGCCGGGGCCCGAATGCACAAACCTTACCTTTGTCCTTGACAGCTCTTCTGGCGGTGGGTGACCCGGGAGCTCTCTCCCTTTTGCAAGGACTACTCTTCATTCTTTTGGTTTTTTCCCGTGGAGCTTCAGGGAGAGGAGAGGAGGGAAGGGACGGAGGGTGAGCAGTGAGGGACACACGGCCAACCACGCTGGTGGCCCCGGGCCCCTGCAGAGCCACGCGCCCGTCCTGCCCACTCCCCGGGCCCGTGCCACGGTGGGCAGCTGAGCGTGGGGCCAGAGGGCCACACGTGACTGTCTGCCCCCTTGGTGGTCTGCACAGGGCCCCCTTCACGCCCCAACCGGTCACAAATTCCCAAGAGCCTGGGGCCGCGAGGCCCTGAGGACAGGAACAGCCTCCCATCTGAGTCTCCTGCTCCGTCTCCGCCCCTTTCGTTCTCGTGTTTGTGGACTGAATAAATAGGTGAGTGGGCTGCCACGGAGAGGCGGCGGGCCAGACGGGACATGGGCCCGGCAGGGGAGGCGGCGGGAGGGGCTTTGCATGGTGGGGTCCAGCCTGGCTGGACATGTGGGGACACGGAGACCCCGAGGGGGGGAGGTTGTCCAAGTCCCCAGGCAAGCACAGTGGCCAACAGGAGTGGGGCAGCTTCCTGAGTGCCAGTGTGGCCCCCTCTCCCTTTGCCACTGGCCTCGCTGTCCCTGTCCACGGCTGGGGTGGGGGCTGTGTCCGGGAAGCACCAAAAAGCCAATCAGCCAGTGATGGGTGAGCAGGGCAGGGGCGCTCGGGGAAAGACTGGCCGGAAGGACTCTCCAGGCCCCCAGGCCTTTTCCGGTGCCTCTGTCCTCAGTGCCCACAACCCGCCGGCAGGAGGGGCCTCTGGCCCCCAGGCCCCACAAAAGCACTGATTCTACAGGATCCACTCACAGGAGGCCCTGGAGGAGCCAGAGCCACAGCCGCAGTGAGTGGGGGCTGGGGGGCTGCGGGGGGGGTGGGGCCGGTCTGTGTGTAACAACAGGACAGAGTCCTATCTGGGAAGACAGACACGTTCTGGGGACAGACGGAGGGGGCGGCTGCACGACAGCATGAATGTGCTTGATGCCCCTGAACTGTGCCCTTAGGAGTCGCTAAGACGGTAAATCTTACATGGATCTTACCATGAGTAAAAAAGAAAAAAAGAAAAGACCCCAGCCCTGCCGCACACCTGCTTCCAGAGGGTTCTAAAGCTGGGAGGGGGAGACATGACTTCAAGAACTGGTGGCTGGTGACACTAGGTGCTGAGTGACCAATGGCCACGTCCTGTCCTTGGCGGGGCGGCCCCAGTGGCCTCCGTGGGATGGGGGTAGACAGGTGAACTGAGGCCGCAGGGGTCCCGTGGGTGGAGGAGAAGAAAGGCAGGGTGATCTCTGTGAGCCACAGCCGGCCTAGAGCAGCCCCCCCCCCCGGAGCTGGGCCCCACCCCCTTGGCTTTGATCAGTAGGCACCTTGGCCTCGGCCTGCATCTGCGCTCAGCTGGGGCAGGACACAGCCAAAACCGGCCCTGTGGCTGCCGCCCCAGGGGTCCTATATCCCATACTGACCGACCTCCCCCACCCTCGGTGCCACCATCGCCCCTGGAAAACCCACTGTTCCCCTGTGCCGAAGACCCCAGGAGCCTCGGGCGTCCCAGGGCAGCCTGACTTCTGCCCCCGAGGCCCTCCCCTGCCCCACTTCGGGGCCCCCAAAGTCTTGCTGGAGTGAGGCTGTCTCTCTGCACGCGAGAGACGCCCTTGTCCCCTCTCCCCCTGCAAACAGTGGCAGCCTGCCAAAGCGCAGGCTCACCGTGGCCCTCTGCCCGAAACTGCAGTTCCCGGTTCCCGTGGTCAGGGGTGCGATCCAGCCTCCTCAAATCCAAGAGCGGCTCCTGTCTGCCTCTCCCTCCTCACCCCTGCTATCTATTGACTGAAAGAGTGAGCCCAAACCTAGTTCTTCCCTTGGCCCCTGGAGTGTGCCCGCCTCCAGGAAGCCCGCGTGCCTCCGAGCGGCCCTCAGCACCTCCCAGACGTGGTAGGGCCATCCGGGGGAAGCCTGCCTGCAAGACGGCTTGGCCTCGGGCGCAGGGCGGGCTCAGGCCCGGCCCTGTGGCTGCTGCGTGACCGCGCAGGAAAGACATCACGTGTTCTGTGCGGGCTGAGCTCCAGCCTGCGCTGCAGGCCTGCCTGCATTCCTTCCCTGAGGGGGAGGCCGAGGTTTGGAAGTCCTGCCCCCAGAGAATGGCAGCCTGGGCCCAGATCCCTGCTCGGCCCTTTCATAAAGGGCTGGGACCCTCTCCACTGTCCCCATCTGAGGGCGATTGTAAGAGAGCCAGTCACACAGTTCCGGACCGTGCGGCCCTGACGGCCACCCGAGCGTCCAAACTGGCTGCCGGGAAAGCGGGCCCTGCACAGCCCCTCACCTGCGGCCTGGCGCTGGGGGGCCCTGGAGGGCTCTCGCCCTGGGCCTGCGGTGGCCTTGTCTTCCCTTCCACACAGAGCCTCGCTCAGGGAGCCCGAGCCTGGAGAAAGGTGAGGGGGGCATCGTGAGACAGGTTCTGCAAAGCTCCAGGAAAAGTTCCCCGTCCGGCAGCCGCTCCAAAGGCTTCAGACACAGCACCTTTGACGGAGGCCCCGGGCCCAAGTATGCCCCAGGGGGCCGGGTCGGGGTGCGCCAGCTTTCCGGCCTGCCTGCGGGGGTCTGGCTTCCAGGCTCTGTAGAGACGTGAGGCGCTGGAGGGCGTCGAGGTGCCCAGGGAGGCACAGCTGGCCTGCCACCGCGCCTGGGCCCGGATCTTGTCCCTGAGCAGCTCCAGCCGCGGGTTGCTCTCCCTGGGCGTCTGCCGGGCTCCCTGCGCCTGTGGGGGCCTCTCCTTCCAGGGCCCCGGGAGAGATGTGCAGGACCCATGGCCCCCGGAGGAGCCAGAGAGGCGGCCGGATGACACCGAGCTGTCCCCATCCTTGGCCTCCTCGCCTTCAGACCACAGCGGGAGGCTGGAGGCCCTCTCCTGGGGGCCGGGCTGCTCGATGTATTGGGACCAGGCCATGTGGTGAGCCCCCCGGGAGTCACCTGGTGGCTGGGAGGGCCGGGTCCGCCTCAGGGCAGCCATGACACCATCGTCAGCCACAGGGGGATGGAGCCCGCAGTCCCTGGGGAGAGAGGAGCACACTGGCCGGTCAGGAGTGGAGACGGGCCGCGCTGAGCAGAAGAGCGTCTCACACTCTGCCCACCCTCCCAGCGCCCCTCTGCCCCCTCCCGCTCCTGTCTCAGAATGCCCACAGCTGAGAAAGGTGCAGGGACCGGTGAAATGCCCCATGCACGGCGCTGCTGTGACGTCCTCTCAGACGGCCACCTGGAGCCATGCGGCGGGCACCACGATCGGCCCAATGTGCAGATGGGGCAACTGAGGCTCTGGAGAAGGCACGCGGCAGAGGCACTCTGGCCCCTGAGTCCTCCAGCCTCATGCTGACTGGGCTGTCCTCCTGGGGAAGGAAGCCCCCGCCTGGCCCAGCGGGCGGGCACAGGCACCTGCGTCCGCGGCTGGCCTGCCCCGGGCCTCAAACTTGTCTTTGGGGTGGGGCTGGGTCATGTGTCCTCGGCCGCAGGCAGCATTCCTGGGACCGAGACTGACGTGGCCCCAGGGCCAGGCCGAGGGCAGAGTCAGGGGAGCTCCCGGTCACCACCTGCCCTGGGGTCTGATGGTGCTTTCACGGGGCAGCCTGCTGGCCTGGGGCCCGGCGTCCATCCTGTGCAGGCTGGGCTGGCTGGCCTGCCCCAGTCCCCTGGACCACGATGGAGCCCCTCAGGATGGTCGTGGAAACTGGGCGGACATGGTGGGCTGCCGGGCCCTGGGCTGGGATGGCCGGAGGGTGGGGGCTTTCTAAGGAGCTGCCTCTCAGCAGGGCGGGAGAGAATTCTGGGTGGCCTGTGACAGCACAATAACCCCACATCACTCAGCGACTGGGCACAGGTGTTGGGCTCCTGCTGGGGCCGTGGGCAAGGCCCCACCTTCCTCCGGGACAGGGACACGGGAGCGCAGGCGGTGGGTGAGCTGGCCAGGGCCGCGGTCGGGCTCGGCCGGGGTGGGGGCACGGTGGGGGGCTGGGGGCAGCAGCTGCTGTCAGGCTCAAGCGCGCAGCCCGGGGAGCCCGGGTGCGGAGAGAGGAGCCAGCCCAGGCGCGCCCCAGCCTGGCCCACCTGCAGGGGGCGTCCTGTTACCTCCTCGACGACCCTGGCAGGACGGTGTGGTGGGGAGTATGTGGACTCTGCAGTCAGCTGGCTCCAAGCTTGGCATGGCCCCCCCGAGGAGGAGAGCGCCTTCAAATCCCCGCTCCGTCCCCAGCCAGCTGAGTAACCTTGGGCGACCAGAGACCCCACCCTGCCCCCTGCCTCTGGGTATTGTGAGCATCTGGTGAGTTCACTCCAGCAGGGGGCGCTGAGCAGGGCGGCCGGCATGCACCAGCGGGGGCGGGGGGGGGGGCTGAGGGGGTTATGAAGACTTCGAGTTCAGGATGCCCCGGAGAAAGCAAGAGGCCCCCTATTTTCAGGCAGAATGGAGGGCCTCCTGGAGGCGTGTTCTAAGAGCCTGTCCCTGGGAAGCCCGGACACGGCTGGTGGAGGGGCAGGGCACAGGGCGCGGTGCTGAGCCCAGCAGGGCCCTGTCGCGGTGGGCACGGCCCCATGTCCAGCCAGCAGCAGAAGAGAGGACGCACCCCAGGGACGGGACCCGCCTGCATGCGGGGTGCTGTCCCCTCTCTCCCGCGCGGCTCCTCCTGCGGTCGGGACGACTCTGCACTCTGGGCCACAGGGCCAGCAGCACCCCAGATCCAGCCTTTGGCCCCCGGGCCCCCGACCACACCTGGCGGCCCCGACCAATGGCATGCAGGTCCCCCTGCGTGGCACCGTGGCCGCTGTCTGGCTCTGCCGGAGCCCCCCCCCCCTGCTGGCCGGCTCCCCGCTGAGGCCACGATGCGGCTGGTCCCACCCTGTGTTCTTTTACGATGTTTGTGAGGGGTCAGTGTCACAGAGGGCTGACTGGGGTGGCACAGGGGAGCCTCGCTTCAGGGCACAAGTGTGCTCCTGGGAGGTGCCGGGGTACCCTGGGCCTGCGGGCCGCCTCTGCTAAAAGCGGCGGTGGCGGGACTGGGAACACCGTGGCTTCACTCGGGGGTGACTACAGCGTCCCCCACACCACCCTTACAGCGTGGACAATGAGGAGACTCGCAGAGACAGCTCAGCAGAGACCCCTGCTGCCCTGCCGATGGAGCCCCCCCATCACTGCGGCCACGTCCCCGCCAGGCCCTCAGGCCCCCTCCCCACTGTCCCCCAGCATCCCCTTGACTTTCTAGCCCTGCTCCCTAAAGAGCAGAGGGAAGGGGTCTCAGAGCAGAAGCAGGTACTAAGCAGTTTCCCTCCTCAGGAAGCAGCTAAATCATAAATGCAATGGGGGCGCCTGGGGGGCTCAGTGGGTTAAGTGCCCGATTCCTGAATTCAGCTCAGGTCGTGATCTCACACTTCGTGGGTTTGAGCCCCACATCGTCTGTGCTGACAGCGCTGAGCCTGCGTGGGATCCCCTCTCTCCCTCTGCCCCTCCCCTGCTCTCTCTCTCTCTCTCTCTCAAAATAAATAAACATAAATACGTACACACACACGACGGAGCAGTCGGCTTCAACACCCGCCGCAGAGTTGATAAAAGCGAAATCACAAACAAATGTGTGCGCGTGAAAACAACACCAGCTTCGTCATCGCTGGTGAGCGGCGACAAGCCCAGAACTTCCTCCCCGACCCCGGGCCCCCACCCCCTCCGTGCGTGCCACACCCCCACAGACCTGGTTCACCGTCCGGGCTTCTGGACCGGCTCCGCGTCAGGAGACACTCGAGCCCCCAGGCCCTCTCTCTGCCCAGGACCCACGTGGGCACACACCGCCTCCGCTCCCTTGAACCTGCCGGGGTGAGCACGAGCGGCCGGGGCCACGAGCAGCGTGGGTGCCACGTCCCGCAAGGCCCCGGGCAGAGGGCACAGCCTGGGGGGGGGGGCGCCCCACGCAGATCAGGCCCCAGCACCTCGGCTAATCCTGAGCTACGAGGTAGGCCCTGCTGGGGGTTTGCTTCCGTGTGGACCCCGAGGCGCCCTGGCTGCCACATGTGCTCCCCGTCCTGACCACCCCTGCCTCCTCCCTGGCTCACACCTACCAATGCCACTCTCTCTGAGCGAGGTCCCCTCACCCCTGGTCTGTCTTGGTCCCCGCTCTTCTGCCTCCCCCTGGGGGCCAGGGACCGCTGCGGGGGGTGCAGGAGTGGCCTTGTGCGCACATGCTCGTGGCTGTAAGAGCCCCCAGCGTGGCAGGGCCCTGTGTGGAACAGGCGCCCCGTCCCTTGCTGGGCCCCCACAGCACCGCAGCCCACGGTCCCGTGCAGACCATGATGTGGCTCTGGCCCAGGCCCCGGGCCCTGCTTCCGCAGCCCCGCCTGGCCGGAGGGGTGGGGTGGGGGCGCGGGGGGGGGCGGGGCGACAGCAGCACTGCTCACTTCTCCCCAGCGCGTCCCCAGGGAAACAAGCCCAAAGCAGACCGAGCGGGCCTGGGGACAGAGTCAGTGGACCATGAAGGAGACAGGCCCGTGGGTGCCCACAACCCTGGGCCCCAGGGTTGAGACCGCAGTGTAGCCGGCACTGGCCCGGACTTGGACGTGGCGCCTACGGCCACGTGCGCAGACCCAGCCCCGGGGAAGCAGCGATCCCCGCAGTGAACACCCCCGAGCCGGCCCCTCACCCTGATTAGTCTCCAGCTGCACCAGGCCCTGCCCAGAAGCCACCACGCAGCAGGGGCCCCGAGAAGGTGGGGTGCAGGGCCTTAGAGGTCCAGACGGAAGCGCTTTGGAGGCCGACCCCCACTTGGGTCGTATCTGGAGAGGTGCTGTGCGGGCAACAAGAGCCGCGCCCCCGTGATACCCGCACGCACAGCACACGTGCTCGCTGCCACGTCTGTGGGGCAGGTAGCTGCACCTCCGCTGCCAGAGGCCTTCTTTGCCCGGGGCCCCCCAGCCTCTCCACTCTCCCGGCCACGGCAGCCGCAGCGGCCCCACCAGCCCCTCCCCGAGGAGAGCGCCAGGCCCCCAGGGTGGCGGCGGCAAGGTGGGGGAACGAGGTTACACAAGACTAGACGGTTGGAGGCTGGGAGGCGGGCGTCAGCGGGAAAGGCAGACGCAAGCACCGGTGGGTGAGGCGGGGCAGAGAGAATGCCGTGGACACACGGACACGCGGACACACGGCCAGGCCGCGAGCGGCGGGCTCCACAGGCAGAGGTGACCACAGGTGCAAAGGAGATGAACCGAAGGCGAGGCTGCCGTACCCCCTCCCCGCCACCTCCCGGCTACACAACCCAGAACCCACTTAACCCACCGCCCGGGGGACGCTGGCGCCACCGTTCGGTCTTGCCAAGAGGGACTCACAGCCACACCCACAGGGAAGTCAGCAGGGAGCTCCCCGTGCCCCGCACCCCCATCCTCAGGCCTGCGTGGTCTCCTCCAAGGCCCGAGTCACACGGCCAGTGCCCAGTAGTGGGCAACAGCGTCTCCCAAGCCGGGCACGGCCTGGGGCACCCTGCCAGGGGCGGGGCCTGCCCGCAGTGTGTTTCCCAGGCAACCCGGGGCTCCTCCCCACAGCCTAGGCATTGTCACCTTGCCCACAGTCGCACAACACAGAGCAGAGACCTGCCCTCGCTACCACTTCCCGCAAACAGTCAGGGAGCAGAGACCCGCAACCCCAGGAAAGGAGCCCGTGGACGCAGACACCCCCCCCCCCAGGGCACGAAAACCATCCTCAAAGGGCTCAGAACAGTCAACTGGGGACCGTGGCTTTTGGGGGCCACGGCTGTGGGTCTCCTGCCCGCTGAGTCAGCCCTAGCACCCACTCCTTGATGGTGGCCTTCCAGCCGGACAGCACGGCCTGAGGGGCCGGGGCCCTTTGCCCGAGGAGTTAGTGGGACAGGACCTGAGCTGAGCTGGCCTCGTTGTCAGATAACGGACTCGCCAAGTGAGGCCAAATGCAGAACCACACGTACAGATGGGGAAACTGAGGGCAGTTCGTTAGGGGGGAGTCTAACGTTAGCCTTGCAGCGGCATGTGAACCCAGAGGCAGGGCGGCCCCGTGGTTAGGGCTGGAGGGCATCGCACTCCCAGGGGCAGCCTGGCTTTGCCCCCAAGGAGGCCCCAAGCCCTCTGAGGGGGTCCCCAAATGGGAAGACCCCTCCCCGGGAGAGTGGGACAGAAGGAAGATGGCTACGGGGCGCCCAGACACGTCCGTGCCGGAGGGCAGGCTACCACCCTGCCCAACCTGCCTGCGCTCCCTCCCACGCCTCCCCCAAGGGCCTGGGGCAGGCCTGGCGGCTCAGGGGGACCCCTGCAGGGTACTCACCCGCTGAAAAGCCCAGGGCTCCCCGTCTGTGGGTGGGCGCCGGGTAGCAGCCGTGGCTCAAAGGCCAGCCTCCAGCGGAGCATGGGCGCCAGGGCCCCGCACCTCCAGGTGTGCAGGAGGCCGGGAGGCCCGCCCTGACGTTGCCAGAGAAACCCCAGCGTCCCTCCACGCAAGCTCCTCCTCCAGGCTGGCTTCCTGGAGCCCCGAGGGAACAGTGCCACGCGCGTGGAACTTCGGTGGCGCATCCTGCACGTGGGCAGGGGGCACACACCTTGGGCACTCCTCCTCGCTGGGCCCCGCGGCTCTGGGGGCAGGAAGGCGGTGCGTCCAGGGCGGTCCAGAGCCCCTGTCCCCCAAGGCGCCTGCGCTGCTTCCCTCCCCCCTCCTGCTCTCTTTGTCTTTGGGAGCTTATAACCTGAAAAGCAAACAGAGAAACTCGCTGCTGTCATTTTAATGGGGCTCCCAAGGGGCTCAAAAGTAAATGCATGCGATTGGTTTGTCCCCAGCGGGTCCTCTTCCTAATTTCCGATCAGCCTGGCTCTGAGCTATGATTGGTCTTGCAGGGGGAGGGAGGGGCCCTGGAGGCCTGGGGTCCCTCTCCCTCCTTCCCTCCGGCCTGGTCTT